GCTTGCCTCGTCAGGCAGTTTGATGATTCGCGTAGTGTATGTCCTATCCATTTCCATCGTCTTTTCCTAATTTCCTGTTCAGTTGGAAGCTGGTTTGTTCTCCCCCACAGAAGCCAGTTGCTGATGGTATGTTGCGTAGACAACTAATTATAAATACTTGTACCTTCTTGATGGTGGTTGTTGTAGTTCTCCAAGTTTCAGCTCCATACAGTAGAACTGCCTTGACGTTGGTATTGAAAATTCTCACTTCGATATTGGTTGAAAGTTGTTTTGAGTTCCATATGTTCTTCAATTTTAGGAATGCTGTCCTTGCTTTGCCAATCCTCACGTTTACGTCTGCATCTGAACCTCCTCGCTCATCGATAATGCTTCCCAGGTATGTGAAGGATTCTACATCTTCGAGAGTTTCGCCATCAAGAGTGATTGGATTGCTGTTCTCCGTTTTGAATTTGAGAACCTTGGTTTTCCCCTTGTGTATGTTGAGGCCTATTGATGCAGAGACTGCTGACATACTGACTGTCTTTATCTTCATTTGTTCATGTGTATGCGATAGGTGAGCTAGGCCATCTGCGAAGTCCAAATTGTCTAATTGATTCTAAGCTGTCCATTGTATTCCGTGCTTTACCTCAGATGTCAAGCTCTTCATAATCCAGTCAACCACCAGAAGGAAGAGTAAGGTAGACAGTAGATGGCCTCGTCTGACTCCGGTCCTTACTTGGAATGCATCTGTCAGCTGTCCTCCATGCACGACTTTGCACTGTAGTCCGTCGTATGAGTTCCGGATAATGTTGACAACCTTCTCAGGAACTCCATAGTGTCGAAGACGTTTCCATAACGTTCTCCTATCCACACTGTCAAATGCCTTTTCGTAATCAATGAAGTTGATGTACAGTGTTGAGTTCCACTCAACTGATTGTTCGACGATGATTCGCAGTGTTGCAATTTGGTCTGTGCACGACCGATCCTTACGGAATCCAGCTTGTTGATCTCGAAGTTGAGCGTCTACTGCATCTTTCATCCTGTTCAGCAACACTGTGATGTGATTATTATCATTATCAAATAGGTGATTAATAAGTTAAACATCATTTTGATGTATCCTCCTTATTAAAAGTAAGTTGTAATACTTACGTAAATGGGTTATAGGTATATAAAATCAGCAAGACTATACTTGCTCGATTTACAGTTATGTAAAGTAAATCATGGATGACTAAATGTACTGTGTTCTGTCCATAAACATTTCTGAAGTAAGAATTTATTTACGGTAAACTTTATAATGGATGGTAACTGTCAGAATATATTTATGAACTATTACTATACGTACATTTTTATCGTATACTTATTAAGTAACTAAACTACTCATATCCGTGTTCCTCCTATCATAAGCTTTATTTTGACTTACAGACTATTGTTATACCACCTACTGTTTGTGAGTCATACCCAGTCTATCAATCACTATCTCTAACATTCACAACCACTCTTGGCTAAATCTTGTACAAATGTTATTTCCCATTTTATGGTACGCTGTGATCTTTTTGGTTAGTATATAAGCCCAGTATGTTTGAAATACATGATTGATATCACAGAGGCTGAGATTGGTGTTCTGAACTTAACAGACATGACTAGGCAGGAAGCAGGACCGATAAGGAGTCTAGACTGCTCGTACGTGTTTTATACGTCATTGGTCCGGTTGATAATTCACTGTTCTCTAATTGGCGGTGTCATTACATTACACATCAATAGGACACAGGGCCTAAATTATAAAAATAACGAATCACTCTATCGTAGATTACACTTAGTTACAAGTTCATTTCAATTGATTTATAATAATAAACATGATTGTACAGAACAATGTTCACTGTAAATGAGAAAAATACCATCAATTATGATTGATGCAAACAATACAAGTGAGAATGAAGTGACAATCTCTTGATGAATAATGTGAACTAAAAGACAATTCAGTTGAATAATGTTTGATTGTTTTCATTACACATCATGTATGGAAGAGAATATATTCGTTGATAACTGTTGATGTTGAAAGCTCCGTGTACTAAGTTTCATAGTTTGAGGAAGTTATCAGTAATTTCCTTACTCGTTTTTCAGCTACAATCCTTTTAACATACACTATAGTTTGCTTACGTTTACTGGTTATGAGGAAAATATTATTCCTTGATTCGTACTGTGATTATTCATCTACAAGTACTAACGATCCACAGTTGCACTGCTTCCATTCCCCCTTCATCCATTATTTCAACATTCGTCCGTCTATTTGTGAATTAAGCTTTCCAATTAATCTTCGTCTTCTCCATGGTTATAGATACATAAGCAATTGAAATAGTCTGTGAGTCACAACAATAAATTTCCCCATCACATTTCAATACTATGCTACATATCTGAAGAACATGAAGTCAATTCAGGTAACACTTATGATTGGTAATTAAATCATTCCATACCACTTATTACAGCTTCTACTATAAACAATATTCATCCTAAATGCACAGTGTTCATTGCTTCATAAAAGATTTAATTCTGTTGTAGTGAACGAGATGATAACTGGGGACAAGTTTACAGAACATCTTAGTAAAATCGGAGAATCATACAGCAGAAAATACTCCATTTGCAAAATGTCAATTAATCATCTCAGACTTCACTATTCCTTCGTTTCCACAACAATCATTCTCTGTTGTTGTTCTATTTTCTTCTATGTTCTTAACCTTCTGCTGCCAAACATTTCATTTTCGAGTGATGATACTTACTACTTATATCTGTTTACATCAGTAGCATACAGTCCACTAATAGTTATTCATAGTTAAAGTTAGTTTAGGACTAGTGATTATAAAGAGTTTTAATTCAATCAACTTACATCATCATGAATTACAAACAATTTGTTTTTATCACAGTTTGTTTACTTCCAGTTCTTAGTTGACTCTTCATCAAAGCTGGAGTTCATCGAGTTTTATTAAACATCGATTTTTTGTATGATGTCATTGATAGTTTAAAAATGCAAAACAACATTTTAATGATAGTTATGATCCATTAAACTATTATCAACTGCTCTTAGTTCTTAACACCATCATAGAGCTGTTGACTAGATGTCTACTAGATGACATTTGCATGATAATCAATATCTTCATGACAGTCACTAAGTGGTTAATCGAAAATCAATAGCTGGGCACGTATTCGACATTGATGTGGCTCTCATTATTTTTAGTGGATTTAAATAGATAAAAGCAAGTATCTACTGAATTGTTTTTGAACAACCTCACAAAATGTGCCACTTTATTCCTCTCATTAACCAGTGTACCTATGACCTTCTGACTTCTGGGGTAGAGTTTAAAAGGTTTCAATAATAATTTTTCTGGTTAGCGTTTTTTTAGCGAGTTAGTTTTCTACGGGATGGGGTCGCTAACCTCATGCCCAACCCTCCTCCTTTATCTGGGCTTTGGCCGAAAGTAGCCCTCGGAGGGACTTCAGACGGAGTTCATTACCCAGTGTACAAATTATACATTCAACCACTTTTGCATACTATTGAATATAGTTCCATTGCTAGACATTATTGACTTTTTTATTTGGTACATATTAAATTGACTTGCTTTATCCGACTATTACTCTTAAAAGGACTTTGTATCAGTATCACAACGCAATCGTCACCAAGTGTGTATTTGTGTCTTTATATTTAGATTCAATAAACAGAAATCATTAACGAAACAGTTAAAAGAGAACTTACTTCGTAGCAAAATGGACAGGGTCTTGAGGGCTTCTCATCTGTCAACTTCTTGAATGGGAGTGATGATTGAATATGATTTTAACAAACTTTTTATATCTGATTAACATCAAAAGGGTATAGTTTTGATTAATTGTATATAAAATTCCAATATAAATGTCCAATCATTTCGGTACTGATGGAACAGTAAATCTCTCTGTACAACTAAAACTAACTAATAGTTACATAGGAGTAGTGTTATCGAACATATGATTCAACGATTTAGACTGAAATGACAACACAATACATACAGTAACTCTCCTGTTCACAACTAAAATTGATAAGACCCCTAATAAAACTGTTTTACCAGAATGACGATTTGTGGAGATTGTAATAATTTTATTATTGTGGAAGCATTGAACAACCGTTTTGTTCTATTATAGGATTCCTAAGCAGTGCGGATCCACAAACTTGACAGAAACCAAAAAACGAACACTTTTACTGCTTTTCTACATTGCGTTTTTGTGAGATGAAAGACAAAGAGTAGATGAACTATACAAAAGAAGATCGACAACAAAACATCTAAATCTGGAAGAATACAAGGTAATTAAACAATTTTCAACCATAATCTAAATTCAATGAACGCATCTCAGACAAAGCCGTGATACAACGTTGGGAAGGAAACAAAATCCATTACACTTAGTTAGCGTCTAGAAACTCTAAATATACTGCTTTATTCTAATTTATCATGACTTATAAGCTGTAGTCAATTAGATTTATTTTGGATGTTCCAAAATTTATTTATTTAAACACATAAACATTCGTACAAAGAAACATAGAATACGTATGCGCTACACAAGTCACTTGATTTGTGTGTGGACTGTAATACCGCTTAGGTGCCCGCGAGTATGCAGTGAGTAGGACTTCCTTGGCAGAGGATTTATACGCATGATCATGTAAGAGCATTTCGAGAAGTAGAGTTGATTCATATCACCATCGACTGTACCAGGACATTTGGAGACGGGTATCCCAAAAACAAGCAATTCACTATTGTAATATTTATGAAATTTCCGTCTACTTAATATTCATCGCTTTTGTAATGACTTCCGTCGATAAAGTAATAAAACTTTGTATTGTACTGGATTGTTCAATTTTGAAAGTTAATTTTCAGTAAATTCATCATCATTTGAAATCAGCCAATTTGGTTCCATTGATGATCAATAGACTTTCAGATTACAGAATGTTAAGTTTGGGGTTGAAGAAGTGAATATTTAGGTACAGGTATATAAAAAAAGACAATTCAGTATTTCGAAAAGTCACTATATTGAAAATAATAATTAGATAACTTATTTCTTACTGATGATCCTCCATAATGTTGACAGTTATTTGTGTGTCTAATTACATAAAGCTGTGAACAGATAAATAAACTTATTAAATTCAGATATCTAGAACAAGGTATTACTGTGATGTGCTACTGATGTTGACAGTTATAAGTAGTACGTATCAACAATCGGAAGGGAAATGCCTGGAAACAGAAGTTTAAATAGATCGAAGGGTAGAGAACGAGAATAGAGAATGATTGTTGTGTGAACGAAAGAACAATGAAGTCTAAGACGATTGATTAACATATTGCAAATGGAGTATTTACTGTATGGTTCTCAGATGTTACTAGGATTTTCTGTAATTTTGTGGTTTAGTACATTCGATTGTCCTCACTCATGTTCTCGTTCACTACATTACTAGTAGGCATTGGATGGAACATTTGATTCATCTGATATGATAAAATGGTGGTAAAACTGTATAGAATTCTTTTTCACTTTGATGAAAGTGTTCACCATATGGGACAATACGAAATTTTTTGGAAAAAATGTTTATGGAATAAAATTTATGTTACTTGAACATGCATTTCGGCACAAACTGATATCAATCAAGCGAATTCAGTGAAGAAAGTTTTCTCTTTTTTTGGATGAAATCATTACTTAAGCTGTACATTCGTATTTATAATTATATGGTAAATATATGTGTCTATTAACTCCGCCTGGAGTCCCTCCGGGGGGCTACTGCCGGTCCCAAGCCCGGATAAAGGAGGAGAGTTGGGCATGGGGTTAGCGACCCCATCCCGTAGAAAACTAACTCGCTAAAAAAACGCTAACCAGAAAAATTATTATTGAAACCTTTTAAACTCTACCCCAGAAGTCAGAAGGTCATAGGTACACTGGTTAATGAGAGGAATAAAGTGGCACATTTTGTGAGGTTGTTCAAAAACAATTCAGTAGATACTTGCTTTTATCTATTTAAATCCACTAAAAATAATGAGAGCCACATCAATGTCGAATACGTGCCCAGCTATTGATTTTCGATTAACCACTTAGTGACTGTCATGAAGATATTGATTATCATGCAAATGTCATCTAGTAGACATCTAGTCAACAGCTCTATGATGGTGTTAAGAACTAAGAGCAGTTGATAATAGTTTAATGGATCATAACTATCATTAAAATGTTGTTTTGCATTTTTAAACTATCAATGACATCATACAAAAAATCGATGTTTAATAAAACTCGATGAACTCCAGCTTTGATGAAGAGTCAACTAAGAACTGGAAGTAAACAAACTGTGATAAAAACAAATTGTTTGTAATTCATGATGATGTAAGTTGATTGAATTAAAACTCTTTATAATCACTAGTCCTAAACTAACTTTAACTATGAATAACTATTAGTGGACTGTATGCTACTGATGTAAACAGATATAAGTAGTAAGTATCATCACTCGAAAATGAAATGTTTGGCAGCAGAAGGTTAAGAAGACAGAAGGAAATAGAACGACAACAGAGAATGATTGTTGTGGAAACGAAGGTTAGCGAAGGTTAGAGAAGGTTAGATCGCTCCAAAGGAATCTTCTTTTAAAATAATTTACACAGTCACAGGAATTGGATCGAATTAAGGTCGAATCAAAATCCTATGCACTGCTGAGACATTAGCAATACGCCAACTTTTCGTGCACAAACGATTTGTCCAACCTCTCATCCTTCCTTGACCGTAATTCCCTTTTGTAGTATGTTTAGGGTTTTTCATTATTATTATTATTACTATTATTATTATTATTATTATTATTATTATTATTATTATTATTATTATTATTATTATTATTATTATTATTATTATTATTATTATTATTATTATTATTATTATTATTATTAATTGATTGATTGATTGATTGTTTTGATTCTAAACTGTAATCAGCTCTTATTATTGCCCTTAAACAAGTTTTTTTTAATTATCATCCAGTTTTTATGATTATGACCTTTATGTTTTTCGTGTTTCTTCTTCGTCATATCTGTTAATTGGATAATTGACTTCATCCGTTAATTATTCACAGCCTTATATTCTTGTCTTACCTCTTGATTATTAGGTAACCTCACTTGATAATAAGAGTCTCGAATCAATTTATGATGTAACCTCCTCTAACCTTCTAATAGACACATATATTTACCATATAACTATAAATACGAATGTAGAGCTAACGTAAATCGTTTTGATGAGAAGAGAAAACTTCCTTCGCTGAATACTCTTTGTCTTTGTGACACAATGGGTTATTTGAATTATCTGATATCAATTAGTAAACTCGTACAGATCAACCATACAAGGTAGTTATATTTACCCGTTAATTATCATCCACAAGAGATAAAAATCGTTCATTTTCATTTAGTAGTGAACAATATTCTTAAACAATATTGAGGCGTAACCTTCTTCCTACTAATTATACATAAAGCATTATGTACTTGTGGAAATCAATCACATGAGTTATTCATGACAAACAAATTAACCTACACTTCCCTCTTCAAATCAACATCATATATAGGTACTTCCAATGGATCATAGGCCACCGACTAGCATTCCTCAAACCACTCTATCCTCAGCCTTCCCTTCTAGTTCTATCCAATTGTTGTTCATTCTTCTCATATCTGGAGAGACAGAAATTTGATAGAACTAGAGAGGAAGGTTCAGGACAGAGTGGGTTGGAGAATGTTGGTCGGCGGCCCATGCTCATTTGAGAGCTCAAAGTTGTTACTATGAAGAAATACTTTATATTAAGTCACGAAACGTCATCAGAAATATAATTTTTCCACTCATTAGGATACAACAATAAAATATATTTATTACTAAATATTATGTTGTACATTCATCAATATGCAATCAAAATACACTAATAGCTAAACTTACATCTATAGTTTCATCCTCATACTAATAATATAAGAAAGGTAGATTATGATGTGAAGGATAGAATGTGAGAAAGAACCCATCGAATTACCTCGACATAAACAAATTCTAATTAATTAACATTTCATATTTATAATGACCTCAAGATTAATGAAATAATTTAACATCGATTGATTGATGTTAGACATTAAAACCGTTGGATGTCGGCTCAGTGATTTATAGGTTGAGCTTTCGCGCAACAGACTGATAAGTCCTGGGTTCGGATCTCGCGGGGATGTATCGTAGATGCGCACTACATAGGAGTCCTATAGTGGGGGGTGAGACGGCCGTCCAGTGCTTCCAGGCTTTCCATGAGGGTTTAGATTCAGTTGATTCATTAATTCAATTATTAAATTACTACAATCTCCACAAAATCGCTCTCTGATCAGCATACTGACAGACCAATCATTGAGTAATATTATCTTTCTAAATAAACATCCATTTTATTCAAAGATTGATAGTGGTTAGCAGTGAAATCCAGTAGACTCATCAGATCGATGTACCTGGAAGATTCAAACAAACAATACCAAATGAATTTCAACATCCATTTTGCATCCGATTGTTGTTATTTTATAAATTAGTAAAAATAAAATAAAATTGAAAGGTTATATTTTTCGCCTAATAGTTAGCATGAGATTGATGGTATTAATTTACACTCAGTGATGAGCACCATATTTTTAAAGATTGAAATAGGACCCATTTCCTGTACAGGGGATTTCGCGTTTGATGAAGTCAATCACTTTTGAATTCTTTAAAAAAATAAGATCAAATAACTATGCAGTTTTCTGTCATAACGTTTCATTTAGCAAATATCCAAATAAGAACACTGGTAATTAAACATACTTGAAGAATGTCGTTGTCATACTGAAAGAAAAATAAGAATGATCAAATTTGATGTAATCAATTATGAGGGACGTAGATGTTATGTCCATAACTAACTGATTAAATCGCTGCTTAAACGCTCATCACGTCAATCTGGTCTGATGTATCTGTTGACTATCCCTGTTGAGCGTGATCTACCAATTGAAGGACATCATTATTCTATTATACTATTGCGACTACAACTCATACTTTTTTATTCATTCCGATAAGTTACGCAATACTGGTCGGTATGTTTGTTCGTTCCACTTAGTGACTATAATCCCATTAATTATTACTATACTAACAGAATTTTTATTTTTATGTTTAGAAACGGATCAAGCTTAAAGCCAAGTTGTCCTTTTTCTGACTATAGCTTCCACATTGACTCTGGGGTTCTTCATTATCGTGTTCACAGTTCCGTTAGAATATCTGTAAGACAAATTAAATCCTACAAGTGACTTAGAGTGTTCAAATGGTTCAAATGACCGTGGATGGAATAGAAGAAGCTTTCACTTAATGGGCTTCTGTGTCTAGCAGCAGTGGAGCACCAATTCTTCCAGGCAGGAACCTAGGTATATTAACTATAATACCGAAAGAAAAAATTGGTAGATCATAGTAAGATATTATCCTCAATCATTAAGAATAGGTCAAGTTGCTTCGTAAAGGACTCCTGAGAAGTCGCTTGAACTAGCTCATCCGGCAACGGATTTCAGCATTTGACAACTCTTAAGAAATAGAAGTTGTGTCTACAGTCCGTTCTGCTGTGTTGTGTCTCTAGTTTCTGAGTGTTGCCCTTTAGGTTAATGCTGGAGCTAAACTTAAGTATGTGTTTAAGAGGATGATTAGAAGTGCTAAGGATATTGTAAGTCATTAGAAAGTCACATTTAAGACGCCTATACTCTAATGAGTAAAGGTTTAGTGAACGGAGGCACTCTTTATAAGGCTTGAATTTGAGTCCCCGATTTCGTGACTCGCCGTTGAATACGTTTCAGAGTGTCATTGTCCTTTTGGAGTGAGGGAGGAAATACTATGTTTCTGTACTCTAAATGTGAATTTTTGTCATAGTTAGCGTAAGACTTCAACCTGGGATACTTCTAGAGAGGAGTTTCCTATGTTGTGAATGTAGTTTGCAACATGTCACAGATGGACTACTTTACATTTTGAAGTGTTAAAGGTAAGTCCGTTATCTTCCCGACTTTGAAGTCGAGTGAGATCTTCCTAAAGTACCAGTATATCCTCTTGGTTGCGTATCTCCCGCCTTCCAAAGTTTCATATCAACAACAGAAATTAATAAGTCTGACGAAACCTGTTATGGAAGATCATTTGTATAAATCAAGAAATTAAGAGGTCTTAGTTCGTAACCCTGAGAGACCCCACTAGAATATTCCATATCCAGATTGTACGAGACCGTAACTGATAAATCGGTAAAAAAGTTAAGAATGGTGAGTTGTATTGCATTGGTCAATAAGGCAAATGAAAATTACTTAATAATTATGCAGTAAGAATATATGTAATAACAGTCCATAAATAATTCCTCGTTAATTTTTCTTTAAGATAAAACAGAATTCCTTAAATCCTTTTGGTTGTACAGCTGAAATTTTGTTGTAGCTGAGAAATTTTGTATCGTCATTTGATTAACGTTAGTCAAAATATTTCTTTTACAATCGATTGTTTTAGACTGTGTAGTCATCTAACACTGTTCAACTTCATAACACGGTCATCACAATTGATTGATCACTGAGTGGTGATCAATATCATACGTGTCTAGGTAACCGACAGGAAACCCTGGATCCGGTTTTCGTGATACTTGGCGCTCATCAGCATGGTGTACCTGTAATCTTAAGGGAACTGGTGATCCCTGACGGATTCGATCCTGTGTCACTCAACTTTACAGTCAGAGACGTTATCAATGAGCTGGGTGACACAAGATTGAATCCGTCACGGAGCACTGATTCCTTCAAGATTACAGGTACACCCTGCTGACGAGTGCCAAGTAGCACGAAACCCGGGTCCACGGTTTCCTGTCGGCTACCTCCAACCACCATCTAATCATAACACGTTCTTTTGATAGCTAGAAATATCAATGACACAGATATTGTTTGCAAGTCTCCTTACACAGAGGAATGCGAATTGATTACTTAGATCTTGACATCGACAATTAGTGATCAACGTTGTGTTATTCTAATTAGTTGACTGAATGACTCAAGAACAAATATATGTATATTTTAAAGGTCTTTTTATCCTCGATGCTTATCTGGAAAATCCATAGACATGATATGTTATACGAACAACCTATCGATGTCTAGAACATAAGCATATGAAGTGTTGTTGTGTAAAGTAGTTCTATACAGTATACAATAATCGACAGTTTAAAGACTAATGTGAATCAACTGTATGTAACATTACTAAAGATTATCAAATAGAACAAGAAAAGGTTGATGTCCACAATCTGTAATGAGGAATTCACAGTTTATAATTGAGGTTTCATCATCACTAATCAGCAAATTTATACTACAAGTGTCAACAATAAAATCGTGAAAAACACCACTGGACAAATATAATCGTATTTGAATATGAAGTGAATTGCTCGAAGTTGTAAATAAGGATAATAACTATCAGCAATATGATGTTTAGCGCTTCTGAAGAACACGTTTAGACTAAGGATATGATAATACAATGAATATGGAGAGGAATAAGTTACACAATGACCACACCTTCATGGCCGGACCATGCCACTTGGATACTGCATTCCAACGCTCACCATTTTTAACCTTTAAGTGTTACATGTTCACTGTAAATCTTCTCAGTAATTATACGTTCCGCTTCAAAGATGGTGTGGTGAAGAACCAATGCCACTGTAAACTATCCAGAATTAAAATACTATTTACTTTCAAAAGGAACTGAACCGACAGGGAATGAAAGTGACAAAGTTTGTTGACGGAGATGCATCTGGTATAAATAAACCTTATCTTCTACAGCTTACAATTGTACTTTGACTTCCATTTTCATTTGTGCAAAGGTTTAAAGGTCATAAACTGGCTACTGAGATCTACTAAGTTAAACATAAAATTGTGGTTTAATAATGAACACTTTATTATAAAAGTAACGTTGTGGGTAAACTACTGTGTAGCTTTCATTCAACCTTCAGTGAGGTCATCACATAGCTTATAGTTAGTTTTTATATTGTGTTGATGAAGTTGTTCAGTTCTCCTCTAAACATATCTTGATGTCATTGAACAGTGATTAGGAGACTGGTCTAGACAAAGAATGTTACACACTGATAATGCACAATGAATTGAGAATAATGTTCTTGAATCCTTCAGTTAACTGAATATTTTGTAACATTATCTGTAAACTATTCATTTGGAGACAACCGTACAGTAGTAACTTACATTTGATTTGTTACACTAAAAGCATATCATGAATGCAAATGTTAATGTTAACTGTATGTTAGAAATGAAATTCTCATCGTTTAGCGGTGAACATGAACACAAAACAACTCATGTCTAATTATACACGTAGGTAAATTACTATTTTCACCGAATACCAAGTTATAAATATTGTGTGTTAGGAAGGAACGTTTATTGTCAAAATTTCTTTTCAACTTTGCCATCGATGACTTTCTAAAAACAGCTTTGATGGATGTAGGTTATGGTAGAGTGGATCTGTTACCTCGAGAAAGACTTTGAGTATGTGAATGATATTGTCTCACTTTGCGATGATACTCAAACCATGAAATTCTCACTTGATCAGTTGAAAAACAGTGTTCATAGGTAGGGCATTTACTTTGCACCTTCCGAAACAATGTACTTTCACAAGACCATCAGGACTCTGAACCTGCACTCACTCTTGGTAGTGAGCAGATAAAATTAGTCGAGAATTTCGTGTATCTAGGTATCTGTGTAAATGCTGATGATTGCATGAATGATGAGATCAGTGTACGTATAATGATAATTAGATGAGTTACTGCTAACCTGAACTATCTTTAGCACTTTTGTGATGTTAGTTTGAATGTTTTTAATGTGTCAGTGAAAGCAGTTTTTCTCTATGTTTGTGGAGCCTGTCGTCTCTGACTCGGGGATGGTAGTTTACTTTGTGTTTGATCATCGTTGTCTTCCAAGGACTGCTAGGATTTAGTGGCAACACCATTCTAGTAATGTAGAGGTTCGGTAAGGTGTGTTCGGACACAGTTACGATAATTCAGTCGGTGTCACCATCTTGAAGCACCGACTTCGTTGGTTTGGACATGAACTACGAATGTTGCCATCATAAATTCAATATCGTTCAATGTTTGCCGACTCTGGGACTGGGTGGAACAATCAAAGTTAATCTGCGTATAAATCGATATCATGGCATGACAAAAGCTGTAAAGGACTTTGATTAGTTGGTACTTAACAACTCCTTCGTTTGGGTTGTAGAGATAGTGTTACTCAGTAGGTTGTGACTTTATCAGATGTACTTAGTACTCTGTGGTGTTTGAATGAACTAATGATTCCTTTTTACTTGTTGAATGCTTGATTTCAAATTTCGTATACAGTAAATTCTTTCGTGCTTATCTTGTACTTCTTGATCCAATTGCGTTATTTCTGGGATTGCTTGTTTTACTATAATTCAAATACTCCTAATTATCACTTACTCCTCTAATGAATCCTTATTGATGAGAACTTTTACCATGTTATTATGTGGTGATATAAATTATGTACACTTGTTTTTTAATGCTTGATACTATTATGTTTAAGTTGTAAGTAGCTGATAAGAAACCACGGAGGGAAATGTATTCACGATATTCTGCCACGTTTACTGTTCTTTCATTACTAATGTTTATGAAATAATTCGATGATCATCTAAATACAAGGAAATTATCCACTCTACACAGAAAATGAATATTTACATGTTATCATCAGAAATTGACGGATACTTCGTATTCGTTGAGCAGACACCATTAGCAACAACCTATTGTGGGAGAGAACAAACAGGGTTCCAGAGAAGGAAGAAATCAGTAAGAAGTGCTGGAAGTAAATAGGACATACATACGCCACTGCGTCACAAAGCAAGTCCTCACATATATTCCTCAGAGCCAAAGGAGAAGAGGAAAACCAAAGAACAAATTACGTCCACAAATGGAGATAGATATGAAAAGAATGAACAATAATTGGATATAACTAGAAAGGAAAGCTCAGGTCAGGGTGGGTTGGAGAATACTGATCGTTGGACTATGATACATTGTGGTCAACAAGCGTAAGTAAGTGACTGAAACTTTACAGTTTTAATAGGTTTTATTTGGATGAATTGGTTTCTGTATTTGCGAACTCAGTGTAGCGTCGTTAGTATACCGTCAAAAAGGATCTGAGAAGTACTTACGTAGGTGATTTGACCACCAAACTAAAAATATAATACATAATGTTGACGATAACATGTAAGTAAAAGTGCTCCTATTAATCAAAATCTGATCATCTTTTTTATTATTTTCATTATGAATACCTAAGCTTAGATTCAAACATCTTATGTGGATGATAATTTCGATGTAACATGTCTTATTATATTATTCGCAAATGAGTTATTAAGATAGGAAAAATAAATCAATAATGGAAATTGACATTATCTTTGATTGTGACTTTGAGAAAAGACCTTGATGTATTACGGAGGTCCTAAATCATATGGTTGTGGATAGATATCTAAAGTCTTGCAAACTCCTGGTAGGTGTTATCTTATCAGATAACAACCATCCCTTTCACTCATATCTTTCTCCTTGTATATCTTCTGAGAACACGCAAGCAAAAGTATAAAAGTTCTATAATACCTTACCTAGCAAATATACTCTGTGACGAACAGGCTGTTAGGGTTAACCTAGTCAATAACCTGCATTGCTAAATATATATCTAATAAAAACTTCTTTATTGATTATACTTTGAAGTTTTACGCAAAGGGGGTGAGAGATGTATGTGATCTTGTAATTGTATTACCACATAATGTATGAATATATTATTGTGATTATATTATTATTAATAGCGGTAGCTTTATTCAATATTATATGTTTGGTATAATATAGAACTCTGAATACCAAGAATTTCAATAAGTTTCCGGTGAAACTCTATTTTATGGACGACCTTTGAACGCATTTTTAAGTGACCTTGAGAACATTGGCCAATCAGAAGAGAGTTAGTATAAAGTGAAAATATATTATAAAGAACTGATGAATTACAATGGATATACTTCTTTTACATGATTTAAGAACTAGTTGAGGTTTGATAAAGGTTCAGAAGTTTTGAAATCACTGTGCATGGCTCCATAATAATCGTCCTCTGGAGCCGTTGTAGGGTCTTAAAAAATACTTCAGCCTAGACCACATGCCTTCAATATTGTTTGTATGGACCCCCGTCGTTGGATCAACAAAATGACTCTTGTGCACTACAACCTGATGCACAAAACCAAGTCTCGAGAGGCATCTATACGCTTTCCAATCATCGGTATAGGTCGTGGTGCCAGGCCGAACGTACTCCTTGATGATTGGTATTATTGTCGTTACCTGACGGTTTTTCACTATTTGAAAATGTCCTTTTTGAGTTGAACGATCGTAAAAGTCAAGTACCTGTCAAGTATATTCACGGAAGTGCTACTTACCTAATCTTCATTGATAAAACGTCCTTTATTGTATTTTCGCTTTCTAACTACCGCCTCATCTATTTCTACTCTTTCCAACTCCTCCAAATGACTGATGTACCCGTGTCATTTTCATTGGGCATATATCACGACAATATTCATTCCAACATATAGTACAACGAAATACAATGTCATCACGGTAGTCTGCACATCGTGCTGCGGTCATTTGATTGCCGCAGTCACAGACACAGGAACTTCTTAATAATCCCATCTGCTGTAGTCTCTCAACAATCACCTCTTCTCTAAAATCTGCTGTAAAACGATCGAATGTGAGCATCTCTCATTGAACTTAGCGCCGTGACCTTGAAACTCCTCAAACGCTTCACGTCATATTGCTAGCGATCACGATGTCTCTGATTGGGCATTTTTAAGTTATACAGTGAAAGGTGATAAACCTTTTCATAAACGCACCTGAATAGTTTATGCAACTTATAGGCATAATGATATGTTAAAACAAACAAGGAAACTTATTAAACTATTTAAATGGTAGGAATGGGTAGTCCGGATGTTTAAGTAGGCCCCAAAAATAAATTAATTTATTAACAAGATATAGTTTGATCATAAGAATTTCTTCAAATAAATATTAAGTTGCCTCGTAGTACGTCCGATATAGCCATCTCCATAGGAAATATTTTATTGCTAATTGTTCATATAGAAACAAAATTGGAATCACTTACAATATTAGCAGGACATGTACACTAAGTTATAATTATTTGAAATAATCGTATATTGAAAATGAAAATTTATTAAGTTGTGAAGTATTCAAAATGGAAGTCATTTGAATGTGTGATCATAATGAAACACCAATATTACACTATATCCTCCTATTTTATAAACTTAAAAATAAAGATAACGAAATCACTTAATATACGTAAAACGATTGTTTTCTTCAGCAATGTGTTCTTGAAAAACTCCAAATTAGATGGAGTATAGTAGTGCATGCGATCTTGTTTATTTACCAATTACTTACGCCTGTTACTCCTTGTGAAGGAGCATAGGCCGCTCACCAACATTCTCCATCAAACACTGTCTTGGGCAGTCCTTTCCAGGTCCTTCCACAAGAACGTAGAAGTGGAAGATTAGACAGCTTTGTCTGACTCCGGTTCTTACATGGAATGCATGCGATCTTCGGCAACCATCCATTCGACTTGGAAAATATCAAAATAATACAACAAAAAAACGTTTTTAACTATAAAGAAAGATGAGTAACTGAAGTTTTCCATGTACTGCTGAATAGAAAAGATGGTATTACTTTCCATTTGACTTGAAGTATCTCTCCGAGTTACCATGTCTGATTCTGTTTACAAATCACAATGTTATCATATACACAATTTCAACTCTATCTTCTAACATTACAAATGTCATATTTTCCACACCCATTAACACACACACAAATATACAAGGATGCTTCCTCATCTTCACCGCAGTAAAATGACAGTGGCTTCGTCAGATATGTTTCTTAGTTGCTTTATTTCTTTATACCACTTAGACATAGTTTATTTATTCTCTAAAGAAGCTGCTCACACAGTCACGAAAAGTCAGGAAATTTAACTTTTCATCTTATTGATATATTACAAATATAGTATTTGCTTATTGGTAACAAACGTATCCAATACTGAATTTATCTAAAGTTAACAGGTTAACTCTTATTATTATTATCTTGATTTGTTAATTTTGTTAGTCGATTTAAAATAAACGGTCGTTAACTGATATATAGTGAAAAAGTGGGGTAACACTAGGGCATTGTGTCATTCAGGTAAGTTGCCGAATTCCCCTAAGAAGTCATAATCAAGTTTTTCTTATCCATCTTTGCGCATTGTAAATTTAAAACACTGAAATCATATAAGAAGAGGTTTTCGTGAATATTATAGTAATTTCAATAGTTGTGATCATGAGTCAGTTGTGAGGTAGTAACTCACTGAAGACATTGTTGGATTTGTCGCCCAATTACGTGGATTAGTTGAAGTTAGATAATAACATCGTTCGATGCTGGTTCAGTGGTATAGTAGTTAAGCACTCGCGCAGGATTGTGGATGCGCACTGCTGAGGAGTCACACAGTAGGACGGAACGGCTGTCCAGTACTTCCACGTTTTCTATGGTGGTCTAGCTTCAACTGACCCATCGTCTGAACAATTGAAATTATTGAAATCATATTTATTTTTATCATATGGTGCATAATTATTCCACATTTTGAGAATTGAATACTGGAATATACATATGATATAATTGTTCTATAGTTTATCTATCATAATCTCATTAAAAATATTTAAGTATCAACTTACCAAATAATCTTTTTCTCTTTTCTGGGTATTACGTCATGATTAATACATTTTGTTTCTGAATGAATTATGTCGATGAAATCTTATTGTTTATAGTGAAATGAAATTGTCAGTTTTACTGACACCTTGTGTATAAGGCAACAGTAGTAACTTTGATTTATCCTTTCTCATTTTGAACAGTAAGTTGGGTGCATCTAATTTATTTAGTATACAACAGAACAACCTATTTGTCCAATAAGATTTGAAGTAAATTTCATAATTCTGAGTTTGATTTGTCACAGTAATTGATATAGGGGGTTTGTGATGAATGTCCAATTCCATTAAGATGATGAACCGAAAACAATATGATTTGACAAGTAGTCATCAGATTGATGTATTGCAGTAAGTAGTAGAACACTGAGTAACAACAGTGTTTGCGTCTGTAATATTACTTAATAAAATTTGATCTCATGAAACTCATAAGCTATGATCAGTGTCAACATCACATCCATCAATGAACACGATACATTTAGAACATTGATGATCCTCTACTTTATCACATTTTCAATTACATAAGGTATTTGAATATTGTCTTGGTGATTAACTTAATTGACTGATATTTAGTGTGGATTTGATCATTTATTCTGTTTCTGCATATGATACAGCTTATACCATTCTCTACTATACATTTATAAAGATTATTGTACTGACCTTCTGTAATATTATCTTATCAAATCAGAGAAAATATTGTTGAATACGTTTGTCATTTATTAGATCAACCAAAATGTCAGTATATGTGAAACAGAAGAAATTATGAGTGCTTTTGTATTCTGAAACTTTGACCATATGCCTAATTTTTCATTTTGAATAGTAGGCCGATGGTAACGAAATGACTGAGGATTGACAGAAATGTCTGTTATTTATTTGAAGATCTTTTATAGATTTTTGTAAAATCTGGAGATTATTTCTTTTTTATTATTGACGTCGACTTTTACTTCACAGCAATCTGTTGAAATTCGTAGGGAACTAAGTAGTTTTATATACTCCGATTTACATTCATAAAGTTTTTGTTCTGAGGAAAACCATAGTGAATAGACTTTTAGATTGTAACATAATGCATGAAGTGTTAGATGCACCGGAACACTGATGGTGTAATTTTTTCCATTCCGTATAGTATATAATATTTATGACTTGTTGTCTTCATTTCTTTGAATAAGCAAATTTGATAAATATCTTATGTTCGAATCTCGCTAGTTGGGATCATGTATGAGCACTGCTGAGGAGTCGCACATTGAGTCGAAACGGCCGTTCAATGCTTCTAAGTTTTTCATGGAGGTCTAACTTCAATTAACTCATGATCTCAACCACCAAAATATCTCATGTCTTTTAAACAAAATTCTCACATTCTCTTTGCATTTTAACTTAATGGAATAAATATGAAATAACTTACTATTTTACTAAAATCACACTAAATTGTAATATCCACGCAAATAATTCCATTAGTCATATATTCCAAATGAAATTTTATTGTCTGGTAAACAACCTAAGACAAAATTTGTTTGATTCTTTACGTATGGTAAAACTTTAAAACTGTGCTTTCTCTTCCCGCATTATGGGGAATAACGTGTCAGTGGTAATGAATTCGATTCGTACATGTCAATCAAGCATTTTTTGCATCAGTCCTAGAAAAGATTCGGTTCTTATGGATTGATTTCCTATAATAAGAAGTATTGGCATCTGGAAACGCTGATAAATACAATCGGTGAGACTATAATCTATGGACTGCCAATGAGCGACGCTAAAGTGACATTGAAAATGTCAACCTCATAAATAGGACTAAATGAGGGTTAGGAATTAGATTTAGAGTTTTCATCACGAACTGACATCATTTATAATGCCAAAACGCTGTTTGGCCAAGCGGATGAATGAATTTTGCGACAAAACCACAGAATCGTTACTTTGAGTCTGATTGATTCATCCATAAATTATAGTCTCACTATACAATCGTCTACTTAAATCCCATTTTGTATTTAGTTGTGAGCACACTAACTCTAAGACACTGTTACAATACATATTTCTATCCGATGCTGAGTGATTAATTCGAATTTCGAATAGTGATTATATTCAACGATATCGTTGGTATTTCAGTTAGTTTATCATAATCTCAATAATCTCATATAATGTTAATTATTGTATCGAACTAAATCCGGATGTAAAAATGTCATCAGAACTTACTTTATTAAAAAATTTGGTAAACTATGAAATACATATGTCATTACATCTTTCTTATTTCGGTATTTAAAAGGAAATTCAAGCAAATATGTAGTGAAAATGCAGTTCGAACTACTACTGTGGTATCTGCTACTTATATCAACATAAGTAGTGTATAAAGCTAGTCAGATAAAAAATGTCTGGAAGAAGAAGAAGATTCGTAAAGGTCAAGAAGGGAAGAACGGTAACAGAAAGCAATTGATATGGAAATGTAGGAACAGCAAAGTCTAAGACAATTAACGAAGATTTTTCAAATGAAGTGTTGGAGTATGGTTTTTCTATTTTATCATGTAACTCAATAAATTTGATCACTACACTATGATGCATTTCCTCTATTTAGTGTAGATTTCGAGACGATTTTTGTTCCCCTATTTAAGTGGTAGTAACGTAGGAATGATAGAATTAAGTCACATGTGCAATCCAAAATAATTTCGTTGGTTCAGGGTTCCTAAATTTGGATATTTCAATCCATAAAAGAAACAATTATAATCGATTATTTCTCATCATTCACTTACACATGAACATAATTCCTTCGTTTCATTAAACACAAACCAAGTTACATTTGACTGAAAGAAATTTTTAACAAATAGACGAAAATACTTGTCGCCTTGAATTAAGAATAAATGAATATATGTCTCCCTAAAAAACAAAAAAGCATCAAAATGAACACATAAATTGAAGAATTGAGTATTTTGGATTATTAAACGGAATACACTCATTATGACATTATATAAGAAAGTAAGATTGGTTCAGCGAACAGTTCTCTTTTCGGCGAATTCATTTTCAAAGCTGTACAATCCCTCACCATGTATAACAGAAGTTTATTATCAGTATTATTATCACCCTGTAAAAATCAGTATATATAATTGCGATTGTACAGCTTTGAAAATAAATTCGCCGAAAAGAGAACTCTTGGCTGAACTAATCTTTCTTTCTTATTTTGGATTAGAAATTTGATCAATTGCTTCTTGAGATATCAACAAAATGTATATTATATACTGCTAGCGATTCCACTATACTTAAATAATTAGGTAATGAATAGGGAAAGCTGTGACAATCAACAGAGTTATGTAATACTTGGTCGATAGGATTCGATCTGGACTAAGAAAAACTTGACATTGGTCACCATCCAGTGATCAATCAATTGTAAATATATACCAATCCTACAAGAGGTCAGTCGCGGACAGGGCAGTATCTCTGACAGTCAAGCTGTGTGATATGGGATTGAATCCATCAAGAAATACCAGTTCCCTCAAAATTACATGTGCATATTGCTCGTAGGTGACAAATATCACGACTTACTGATGAGTGCCAAATAGCATGTAGCCTAGGTCCACGGTTTTCTATTGATCACCTATAACCATCATCTTAATGTATTGTATTGTTTAAAATAATTCAAATTGAAATATTCGAACATTGATTCTTTCATTCAACTATAACTTACATTCCATCTCCCACTTCCTTTAAATAACAGTAAAGCAATTTTATCAAATTGATTATTTTAACATGTGCAGTATTGACAGGGTGATGTATTATGTGGAAGAAAAGAAATTTAAGTTTAGTGTTCTTCATGAAACATAACACTGTGTAGTTCGGGATCAGCGATACAGTGGAACCCGATTAGTGATCAAGACACCGAAGTACCTTATGATTTCATTTTCTTTTAGGGATAATTCTGACACATGAAGAAAGTCTAAAATCTATCAGTAGCAAATCAACAATATAGGCTTTTATTATCGATAACGTCCATGTGCACCATCATAGAGAATATAGAAATCCATATTACATGCCTTGTTTTATCTATGCTTGACTGTTTTAGAAGGCTAAATATATTTGAGCTGTTTCAGAAACGATACAAATCAGTGTTGGTATTTCAGAATAGACATCTTAAATAAACTGAAATCTTGGAAATAATTAGATCCAACCAATATGGGCGATTGATTTATACTCGAAATGTGATGGAAAACTTCTATACCAATTAAGGAACGTATATACTGACAGTTCACAGCTTATAATAGCTCACGTGCAATTGAGTTTGTTCACCATTAATTCGATTCAGTCATTGTGTTAACTTATTAACGAACTGAGTCATCCGTACTACAACAACAACTTATCTATATCATTGTATCTTTATTACTGTTGCCAATATATGAACATGTATGCTTGAGCATTGCTTACTGCTCAAGCATTTATTCACGCTAATAGCCTTACTACTAACCGCTTAATTGATTTGATGATTCATTCATATCACTATGTATTTATATGTCCATGTTATTCATGTTGATTGCTCTCTCACTCGCTTACTCCTACTCATATTCACTGACTCATTCGCTTGCCTTCCGGCACAACTCTTGTTTACCGCATCTGTAATTTGGGATATCTGTGTATAGTCACATAATAAACTTAATCAACGCTTCGTATTCGCCTTCTGATTAATATACCGTTTAGGCGTTATCTAGGACGGTTATCAAGACGAACTGTATACGAAGTTTAAGGATTATATTGAATACCGGCCACCACAAGCTAATCGAAATGATGGCTTTTATGTAAATTTTGTTTTCATATATGATAAATTTGATTTTAACAATTGAATTCATGAGTCGTTCTAAGCTGGACCATCATGAGATGCTTCATGCTGAAGAGTCCTATACTACAATCAAAATGGTCATCTAATGCTTTCAAGTTTAAGGTCATTTATATTTAAATAGTTATACTTACCATCACTTCTGAAGACTATAAGAAATAGAGACCAAAAGATAAGGGTAATACATGGTAATATAAATATTTGATATGGAGTCAATAGAAAATCACTCTTAGTCATTGGATATTGCATGAATTTACAATGGAACGGATTACAATGTTTATATATAGATAAGCTTGACCAATTGAGTTTGCACTTATAAAGGAGTCTGCACATATGACAATAGACAATAATGTAACATTAGCAAACATCCATCAATTGTATTCATCTAACGGCATACATTAATTGTCGTTGAACCACACCTTATATCCATCCATATATGATGAGATGACAATTGAATTCCTATGATGTGATAATAGACAAGATATTTTATTGAAAGTCAAATGTATGATTGTCATCATGATTATCAAATAGGTGATTAATAAGTTAAACATATAATCGATCAGCTTTCTTGAATGTAAACATCATTTTGATGTATCCTCCCATTATTAAATGTAAGTTGTAATACATACTTAAATAGGTTATAGGTATATAAACTCAGCAAGTCTATACTTGCTTGATTTACAGTAGTTATGTCAAGTAAATCATGGATGACTTAATATACTGTATTCTGTCCATAAACATTTCTGAAGTAAGATTTTGTTTTCGGTAGAGTTTATAACGAATCAGTTTATTGTAAAGTACTATCTACATCACGGTAGATCGAAAGAGAACAGATTCGTTGATAACGGTTGATGTTGAAAGCTTCATATGTTTAGTTTCATAGTCTGTGTAAGTTGTCAATAGTTTACTTAAAAGGTTTGAATAGTTATTTCTGGTTAGCGCTTTCAAGTGAGTTAGTTTTCGACATGATGGGGTAACTAACCCCATGCCCAACCCTTCTCATTTATCCGGGCTTGGGACCGACATTAGCTCCCGAAATGATCCCAGGAGGATTTCGTCAATGGTTTGGTTACTTGAAGATAAATTAAAGTAGTCAATTGTAAGTGACATTCATGTTAACATACACTGTACTTTGCTTACGTTTTTTTGGTATTAGGATTACATTATTCTTCACGATTAAGATAGTTGAACTTCGACTTAACGTCAAAGAATGTAACAATGATAGGATGTCGATAACCATGTGTTCCAAATCCTGATGAAAGGTGAATATATGATCTAGATACCTACATCCACGTTTGAAACTAGACTAGTTTTTTTCGGGTTCGATCTTTACAAGCTTATGTTAAGCGTCTGACTGTTATTGGGCTTAATATTTTAGATACTACATTAGCCAAACAAATTCTTTTCTGATCGTCAAAGTTAAAATTTCTTCCTTGCTTATAAACTGAGATGAACTGCGATTACGGTCAGTCTGATGGTGTGTCATCTACATCACAGATTCTTGCTAAGATCTCACTTCATCTAACTGCTGAAACTGAACCACTATTGACTAATATTTCTCAGGTTGACCAAACGAAACCTCCTGCGCCCTCTCTCATTGAAATGAGCTCCTACATTTGTCATCTGTGTATCACTCACTTACCGACATTATTCTCCTTCTCGGTTGTTTAAATTTATACCGTGTTCATCTATAATTATAATAGCTTCAATTTAATTATGCCAAACACTTTTCTGTGAACTGATTTGTCCACGAACTGAAATAACCAAAAATCGTCATTTAATAATAACACTAAAAGTATTTTCGAGGATTGATGCATTTAAAACCTGAAAACGTTTTGATGCTAAACGAAAATGAATTTTGTATATATTATATGTCGTAGTGAACAAGAACATTGGTTGGACACATAAATGACAGAATCTCTTAGTAACAATATGTCAATCAATAGTCTAAGACTTCACCATTCCTTGATTTCCATACCAAGTATTCTCTGTTCTCATTCTCTTGTCTTCGAAATTCTTAATCTTCTGCTTCCAGGTATTTCACTATCGATTGTTGATACATACTACTTATATCTGTTGACATCAGTAACACACATAACAATATGATCACATAAGTTTAATGGGTTCGGTTACCAAAAGTATGCAATCCTGCATTACCTATACGACCTATTTTGAATATTTAATTCATCCTACCACCAAATCCCCTCAATGCTTATTCGTAAGATTAGAACCAGTTAGAAGACAAGTTTCTAAATATGTTCGGTTCATCATACTTTTCAATTTACTGACAGTATTTAAAAAGTGCTTACCTGATATTAGTCCTCTGTTCACCAGTGTGCTATTAAATGAAACTATACGTTACATTTAATAATCATTTGTATGCTGAGAATATGAATAATTAAAAGTATTTTTTCTGGTTGGCGTTTTTCAACAAGGTTATTTTCTACGGGGTAGGGTCATGATCCAATGCCCAGGCCTCCTTCTTTATCAAGACACGAGGCCATCAGTAACTCTAGAAGAACTACAGGCGGAGTTAAGTGAACTCAGTGTTAGTGAATATTTAATAAATCTGTAACAGATTATGGTAGCCTGCCAGAAAAATGATCTTAGTTCTGTCAGTGATCAGTTTAGTCAGAAACAGCTTCCAGACAGAGACTCAAACTACAATGTCCAACACAGTCCAAGTAGATTACAATTCTCCTTACTGAAGAATGAAGTCATCCAAATGTATATGATAACTAACAGGTTAAAATGATTTGGGCTTACTATTCGTTTCTTACTATCCTGATACACAACTCCGCCTCTAGCTCTTCTAGCTTTACTGACGTTCCCAAGCCCGAGTAAAGGAGTAGGATTGGGTATGGGGTCAGCAACCTCATCCGGTAGAAAACAACCTTGCTATAAAATATTGACCAGAATAAACAAACTGAACACTAGTGGGTGACCTATGCTCCTCTACGAGAGGTACCATGCGTAAGTAAGTGAGTGAGTAAGTAAGAAAGTAATCTCAATACACAGGACATTTGCAATTTACTAACACCAAACTTTTTAAAATAATACAAATCGTCTTGGCATAAATCTACTTCCCACCTACTCCTACTTTTAAATTATAATCCTGAGCTTATTAATAACTAGCTTCAGAATGAATTCCCGAAATCCGATTGGAAATGTTTGATCGGTAAAGTTTGGGTACGTCAGGAAAGAGTTCAGCCAGTCAATATCAGATGAGTTCGAACTAGAACACTTCAAACAATCGAACAACCCATATTTAATCCACATTTAATTTTAATATCTATATCAAGCAAACTCCACCTGGAGCTCTTCTGGGTCCACTACCGGTTTCAAACCTGGATAAAGGAGGAAGATTGGACATGGAGTTAGCGATCCCATCCCGTAGAAAATTAACTCGCTAAAAAACAATATTAAAAACGCTAGTCTATATCAAGCTGATTACGCCTGTAAACTGGCATCTTAATTATTCATATTCTCAGCATACAAATGATTATTAAATGTAACGTATAGTTTCATTTAATAGCACACTGGTGAACAGAGGACTAATATCAGGTAAGCACTTTTTAAATACTGTCAGTAAATTGAAAAGTATGATGAACCGAACATATTTAGAAACTTGTCTTCTAACTGGTTCTAATCTTACGAATAAGCATTGAGGGGATTTGGTGGTAGGATGAATTAAATATTCAAAATAGGTCGTATAGGTAATGCAGGATTGCATACTTTTGGTAACCGAACCCATTAAACTTATGTGATCATATTGTTATGTGTGTTACTGATGTCAACAGATATAAGTAGTATGTATCAACAATCGATAGTGAAATACCTGGAAGCAGAAGATTAAGAATTTCGAAGACAAGAGAATGAGAACAGAGAATACTTGGTATGGAAATCAAGGAATGGTGAAGTCTTAGACTATTGATTGACATATTGTTACTAAGAGATTCTGTCATTTATGTGTCCAACCAATGTTCTTGTTCACTACGACATATAATATATACAAAATTCATTTTCGTTTAGCATCAAAACGTTTTCAGGTTTTAAATGCATCAATCCTCGAAAATACTTTTAGTGTTATTATTAAATGACGATTTTTGGTTATTTCAGTTGGTGGACAAATCAATTCACAGAAAAGTGTTTGGCATAATTAAATTGAAGCTATTATAACTATAGATGAACACGGTATAAATTTAAACAACCGAGAAGGAGAATAATGTCGGCAAGTGACTGATTCGCAGACGACAAATACAAGCCCGGATAAATGAGGAGGGTTGGGCATGGGCTTAGCGACTCCATCCTGTCGAAAACTAACTCACTAAAAAACACTAACCAGAAATAACTATTCAAACCTTTAAGTAAACTATTGACAACCTACACAGACTATGAAACTGAACACATGAAGCTTTCAACATCAACCGTTATCAGCGAATCTGTTCTCTTTCGATCTACCGTGATGTAGATAGTGCTTTACAATAAACTGATTCGTTATAAACTCTACCGAAAACAAATTCTTACTTCAGAAATGTTTATGGACAGAATACAGTACATTAAGTCATCCATGATTTACTTGACATAACTACTGTAAATCGAGCAATTATAGACTTGCTGAATTCATTATACCTATAACTTATTTAAGTAAGTAATACAACTTACATTTAATCATGGGAGGATACATCAAAATGATGTTTACATTCAATAAAGCTAATCGATAATATGCTTAACTTATTAATCACCTATTTGATAATCATGATGACAATCATACATTTGACTTTCAATAAAATATCTTGTCTATTATCACATCATAGGAATTCAATTGTCATCTCATCATATATGGATGGATATAAGGTGTGGTTCAACGACAATTAATGTATGCCGTTAGATGAATACAATTGATGGATGTTTGCTAATGTTACATTATCGTCTATTTTCATATGTGCAGACTCCTTTATAAGTGCAAACTCAATTGGTCAAGCTTATCTATATATAAACATTGTAATCCGTTCCATTGTAAATTCATGCAATATCCAATGACTAAGAGTGATTTTCTATTGACTCCATATCAAATATTTATATTACCATGTATTACCCTTATCTTTTGGTCTCTGATTCTTATAGTCTTCAGAAGTGATGGTAAGTATAACTATTTATGACTAATATAAATAACCTTAAATTTGAAAGCATTAGATGACCATTTCGATTGTAGTTTAGGACTCTTCCTCATGAAGCATCTCATGATGGTCTAGCTTAGAACGACTCATGAATTCAATTGTTAAAATCAAATTTACCATATATCAAAACATTGTTTACACAAAAGTCATTATTTCGATTAGCTTGTGGTGGTCGGTATTCAATAAAATCCTTAAACGTTGTATACAGTTCGTCTTGATAACCGTCCTAGATAGTGCCTCAACAGTATATAAATCAGAAGGCGAATACGAAGCGTTGATTTAGTTTATTACGGTAACAGCATACAGATATCCAAAATTACAGAAGCGTTAAGCAAGACTTGTGCCGAAAGGCAAGCGAATGAGTCAGCGAATATGAGTAGGAGTAAGCGAGAGAGAGCAATGAACATGAATAACATGGACATATAAATACATAGTGATCTGAATGAATCATCAAATCAATTAAGCGGTTAGTAGTAAGGCTAGTAGCGTGAATACATGCTTGAGCAGTAAGCAATGCTCAAGCATACATGTTCATACGTTCGCAGCAATAATGAAGATATAATGATATAAATAAGTTGTTGTTGTTGTAGGATTACTCAGTTCGTTAATAAGTAAACACAATGACTTAATCAGATTAATGGTGAACAAACTCAATCGTATATACTTAATCTGCATTACATTAATCGAGTATAGATCAATTGCTCTTATTGGTTGGATCTAATCATTTCCAAGACTTCAGTTTCTTTAAGATGTCTTTTCTGAAATACCAACACTGATTTGTATCGTTTCTGAAACAGCCCAAATATATTTAGCCTTCTAAAACAGTCAAGCATAGATAAAACAAGGCATGTAACATGGATTTCTATATCCGCTTTCATGTGTCAGAATTGTCCCTAAAATGAAAATGAAATCATAAGGTACTTCAGTGTCTTGATCACTAATCTTGTTCCACTGTATTGCTGATCCCAAACTACACAGTGTTTTGTTTCATGAAGAACGCTAAACTTGAATTTCTTTTCTTCCACATAATACATCACCCTGTCAATACTGCACATGTTAAAATAATCAATTTGATAAAATTGCTTCACCTTTATCTATAGGAAGTGGGAGATGGAATGTAAGTTATAGTTCAATGAAAGAATCGATGTTCGAATATTTCAATCTGAATTATTTCAAACAATACAATACATTAAGATGATGGTTATAGGTGATCAATAGAAAACCGTGGACCTAGGCTACATGCTATTTGGCACTCATCAGTAAGTCGTGATATTTGTCACCTACGAGCAATATGCACATGTAATTTTGAGGGAACTGGTATTTCTTGATGGATTCAATCCCATATCACACAGCTTGACTGTCAGAGATACTGCCCGGTCCGCGACTGACTTCTTGTAGAATTGTTATATATTTACAATTGATTGATCACTGGATGGTGACCAATGTCAAGTTTTTCTTAGTCCAGATCGAATCCTATCGACCAAGTATTACATAACTCTGATGATTGTTCTATTCATCATTACCTAATTATTTACGTTTAGCAGAATCGATATCAGTATATAATATACATTTTGTTGATCAAATGTTTTATTCAAAATACTCAATTCTTCAATTTATGTGTTGATTTCGATACTTTTTTGTTTCTTAGGGAGACATAGATTGGCTTATTCTTAATTCAAAGAGAGATGTATGTTCTTCTGCTTAAAAACTACATTAGTTAATCATTTTCTAAATTCAATTGAGTAAATGCATCTTCAACTTTCTATTTCCATTCAATCATTTCTTTCAGTCAAATGTAACTTGGTTTGTGTTTAATGAAACGAAGGAATTATGTTCATGTGTAAGTGAATGATGAGAAATAATCGATTATAATTGTTTCTTGTATGGATTGAAATATCCAACTGAGAACTTTGGACAAACGAAATTTTTTTGGATTGTACATGTGACTTAATTCTATCATTCCTACGTTACTACCACTTAAATAGGGGAACAAAAATAATCTCCAAATCGACATTAAATAAAGAAATTGCATCATAGTGAAGTGAAAGAGATTACAGGTGAGGAAAATCGATTGTTTTAAACAAAAAATTAAAGAGTTACTTGATGAGATATGAAAGCCATACTACAGCAGAATGCATCTATGTTTGGACCCAGGAGATATCGATCCTGAGTGCAAATGCTTAACCTCTATAGACCAGTGGGCTGGCATCCCACGTTTAACTTCAATTACTTTAATTACTGTCTTTCCGATTCCCACTCATTTATGGTTTCTAAATCCATGTTAATATGAACTAATGTATGAATTTGCATATATTTAGTAATATTGCCATGAAGGAGAACACAGGAGAGGACAACCGATCATTATCAGCACAAAATTACAGAGTTACGTGATAAAATAGAAAAACCATACTCCAACACTTCATTTGAAAAATCTTCGTTAATTGTCTTAGACTTTGCTGTTCCTACATTTCCATATCAATTGCTTTCTGTTACCGTTCTTCCCTTCTTGACCTTTACGAATCTTCTTCTGCTTCCAGACATTTTTTATCTGACTAGCGTTATACACTACTTATGTTGATATAAGTAGCACATACCACAGTAGTAGTTCGAACTGCATTTTCACTATATATTTGATTGAATTTCGTTTTAAATACCGAAATAAGAAGGATTTAATGACATATGTATTTTATAGTTTACCAAATCTTTTAAAACAGTAAGTTCTGATGACATTTTTACATCCGGATTTAGTTCGATACAATAATTAACATTATATGAGATTAGGATAAATTAACAGAAATGCAAACCATGTAATTGAATGTATTCACTTCCCAAAATTCGAATTTATCACTCAGCATCGGATAGAAATATGTATTGTAACAGTGTTTTAGAGTTAGTGTGCTCACAACTAAATACAAAATGGGATTTAAGTAGACGATTGTATAGTGAGACTATAATTTATGGACGAATCAATCAGACTCAAAGTAACGATTCTGTGGTTTTGTCGCAAAATTCATTCATCCGCTTGGCCAAACAGCGTTTTGGCATTATAAATGATGTCAGTTCGTGATGAAAACTCTAAATCTAATTCCTTACCCTCATTTAGTCCTATTTATGAGGTGGACATTTTCAAGGTCACTTTGCGTCGCTGAATGTCGTTCATAGATTATAGTCTCACCGATTGTATTTATCAACGTTTTCAGATGCCAATACTTCTTATTATAGGAAATCAATCCATAAGAACCTAATCTTTTCTAGGACTGATGCAAAAAATGTTTGATTTACATGTACGAATAAAATTCATTACCACTAACACATTTATTCCCCATAATGCGGGAAGAGGAAGCACAGTTTTAAAGTTTTACCATACGTAAAGAATCAAACAAACTTTGTCTTAGGTCGTTTGCCATACAATAAAATTTCGTTTGGAATATAAAACTAATGGAATTATTGTTTGGATATTACAATTTAGTGTAGTTCTACTCAAATAGTAAGTTATTGCATATTTATTTCTGCTAAGTTAAATTGCAAAGAGAATGTGAGATTTTTGTTTAAAAGACATAAGATATTTCGGTGGTTGAAATCACGAGTTAATTGAAGTTAGAGCTCCACGAAAAACGTAGAAGCATTGAACGGCTGTTTCGACCCATTGTGAGACTCCTCAGCAGTGCCCAGCCATGATCTCAACTAGCGAGATTCGAACATAACATATTTAGCAAATTTACTTATTCAAAGAAATGAACATAACAATCCATAAATATTATAAGCTATGTGGGATGAAAAAACTGCCCCATCAGTGTTCCGGTTTATCTAACACTTCATGCATGATGCGGCAATCTGTAACTCCATTCGCTATGGTTTTCCTCAGAAAAAAAATTTTGTGAATCTAAATCGTGAAATATTAAACTACTTAGTTCTCTATGAATTTGCAATTGGAAATGTAATTAAGTAGAGGGTCATCAATGTTCTAAATGTATCGTGTTCATTAATTGATGTGATGTTAACACTGGCTACACCTTATGAGTTTCATGAGGTCAAATTTTATTCAGTAACATTACAGACACAAACACTATTGTTACTCAGTGTACTTTCACTTACCGCAATACATCAATCTGATGACTATTTATCAAACCATATTGTTTTTGGTTCATGATATTAATAAAATTTGACATTCACCACAAGCCTTCTATATTGATTACTGTGACAAATCAAACTCAGAATTATGAAATTTACTTCAAATCTTATTTGACGAATAGGTTGTTTTATTGTATACTAAATAAATTAGATGCACCCAACTTAACACTCAAAATAAGAAAGGATAAATCAAAGTTACTACTGTTTCCTTATACACAAGGTGTCACTAAAACTGACAATCTCATCTCACTATAAACAATAAGATTTCATTGACATAATTCATTCAGAAACAAAATGTATTAACCATGACGTAATACTCAGAAAGGAGATAAAAGTTATTCGGTAAGTTGATACCATAATATTTATAATGCGATTATGATAGATAAACTACAGAACAATTATATCATATGTATATTCCAGTATTCATTTCCCAAAATGTGCAATTATCATGCACCATATGATAAAAATAAATATGATTTCAATAATTTCAATTATTCAGACGATGCGTCAGTTGAAGCTAGACCACCATAGAAAACCTTGAAAGACTAGGATGGCCGTTCCGTCCCACTGTGTGACTCCTCAGCAGTGCTCATCCACGATCCCGCCTCACGAGATCCAAACCCACGACCTATCAGTCTCGTGCGCGATCGCTTAACCGCTAGAGCACTGAACCGGTATCCAACGATGTTAATGTCTAACTGAAACTAATCCACGAATTTGAGCGACACATCCATTAATGTCTTCAGTGAGTTACTATCTCACAATTGACTCATGATCTCAACTATTAAAATTACTATAATATTCACAAAAACCTCTTCTGATATGATTTCAGTGTCTTAAATTTACCTTGCGCAAAGATGGATAGGAAAAACTTGATCATGACTTCTTAAGGGAATTCAGCAACTTACCTGAATGACGCAATGCCCTAGTGTTACCTCACTTTTCCACTATATATCAGTTAACAACCAATTATTATAGATCGACTAACAAAACTAAAAAATTTAAATATCATTATGAAGAGTTGACCTGTTAATTTCAAATAAATTGAGTATTAGGTACGATTGTTACCAATAAACAAATAATATATTTGTAATGTCTCAATGAGATGAAAAGTTAAATTTCCTGTCTTTTCGTGACTGTGTAAGCAGCGTCTTTAGAGAATAAATAAACTAAGTATGTCTAAGTGGTATAAAGGACAGAAGCAACCAAGAAACAGGTCTGACAAAGTCACTGTCGTGTCGCTCCAGTTAGGATGAAAAGATATCCTTATATATTTTCGTGTGTGTTAAGGGGTGTGAAAAATGTAACATCTGTAGTGTGAAAAGATAAAGTTGAAGTTCAGGATATGATAATTCTGTGATATGTACGTACATGGAATGAAACATGGTAACACGGAGAGATACTTCAAGTCAGATAGAAAGTAGTACCATCTTTTCTATTCAGCAGTAGATGAAAAACTTCAGCTACTCATCTTTCTTTATAGTTAAAAACGTTTTTTCGTATTATTTTGATATTTTCCAAGTCGATTGGATGGTTGCTGAAGATCGTGTGCACGAAGCCAGTAGGTCCTGGGCTCGACTCTCGTAGGTAGCGAGGTCGTGGATGCTCACTGCTGAGGAGTCCCACAATAGAACGAAACGGCCACACAGTGCTTTCAGGTTTTCCATTGTGGTCTAGCTTCAACTGACTCATAATATTAACCATTGAAATTACTATAATATCCACAAAACCCATATGATATTGCCTATATTAAGCGATTTCGTTATCTTTATTCTAAAGTTCATAAAATAGGAGGAAATAGGGTAATATTGGTGTTTCATTATGATCACACATTCAAATTACTTCCATTTTGAGTACTTCACAACTTAATAAACTTTCATTTTCAATATATGATTAACTCTAATATCTTTATTATAAACTATGACTTAGTGTACATGTCCCGCTAGATTTGTAAGTGATTATATTGTTGTTTCTATATGAACAATTAGAAATAAACTATTTCCTATGGAGATAGCTATATCGGGCGTACTAGCAGACAACTTAATATTCATTTGAAGAAATTGTTATGATCAAATTATATCTTGTTAATAAATTTACTTATGTTGGGGGCCTGCTTAATTAACTAGGCTACCTGTTCCTGCCATCTGAATATTTCGACAAGTCGACTATTTCCTTGTTTGTTTTAACACATCATTATGGTTATTAATTGCATAATCTATTCAAGTGTGTTTCTGAAAACGTTTATAAGCTTTCACTGTACAACTTAAAAATGCCTTATCAGAGATATCGTGGTTGCTGGCAATATGCAGTAAGCAGAATATACATAATTCATGTGTCTATTCCTAAACTGTCAACATCTAACTGGCGATTGATCAACAAATACGAAAAGGAAACTTGTTGAAATAACTTTGTTCTATGGATCCCATAATGAACCAAAATTATAATATTGTATAAAGCCATTAATATTAATAATATATTCATACATTATACATCAATAATAGTATCACTTTCTAATATTGATTTATTTTCCTCATTTTAATAACTTTCATTTGTGAATAATATAATAAGACATGTTACATCGAAATTATCATCCACATAAGATGTTTGAATCTAAGCTTAGGTATTCATAATGAAAATAATAAAAAGGATGATCATATTTTGATGATGAAGAGCACTTTTACTTACATGTCGATGTCAACATTTTGTAATATTACATTATTAGGGTCGTGATCAAATCACCTACGTAAGTACTTCTCAGATCTTTTTTGATGGTATATTGACGACGGTACACTGAGTTCAGAAATACAGGAACCAATTCATCCAAATGAAACCTATTAAAACGGTCAACTTCTAATCACTTACTTACGCCTGCTGATTCCAATGGAGCATAGTCCAAAAACCAGTATTCTCCAACCCACCCTGTCCTGAGCCTTCTTTTCTTTTTTCATACACATAGTTCCCGTTATCATTTCAAAAACAGCAAGAACAAAGATTCTAGCAAAATAGCATGAATTCATTTTTATTTCGTAGGTTCTCGTCAGATGCTTACAACCTGTGATATTTAAAAATCATAATTACATAATGAGTTTAAATTGCTTACTGAAAGATTTCCTTCTTTTCTTGTTCCATCCAATTATTGTTCATTCTTCTCCTGTATATCTCCATTTATCGGCGTAAAGTGTTCTTTGGTTTTCCTTTTCTCCTTTGGCTTTCAGTATTCCAAATGAAGACTTATCTTGTGACGCAGTTGTGTACGTTCCACTTTCAGTGCTTCTTCTTGATTTTTTCCACCATTGGAATCTGGTTTGCTCTCTCCCACACTAGGTTATTGTTAATAGTGTCTGGTCAACGGAAACGAAGTGTCCGTCGATTTCTAATGTCAGTCAGTAACAATGTAGAACTTCCTATGTACATACATCAGTTTGAGTTGCCATACTACATTACATTAACACAGAGATGCAGTTATCGGTTCAAATCCCATAGTGATTGAGTTAGTGGGAGTACAAGCAGTAATCAGAAACATTAGAGTTTGGAAATATTATTCAAGGAGTATAATACAGTGAAATTAATTTGGAAAGAGGAGAAAGAAAAAAACGTGAAGAATTCAGAAGATTAGAATTTAGGAGAACACAAAGAGTGTATGCACCTTCGCCATTGCAAACGATTTTGATCAATATCATTTAGGGTCTCTAACCATCGGTTACTATCGTCTCACGGATGCCAACCAGGTAGTCTACACCTACCAACATGTTTCAGTCCACTTGTCAATGACTTCATGGATTTGTGCTACGTTTTGGTCTGGCCGCCTCTAGCTTTCTTCCAATCTACTCCTATACCACTGAACATCGCACGTCGAGGCAGTCGGTCGTTGGGCATACGTAACACGTGTCCCAGCCATCTTAACTGATGAAGTTTCACCACTTCATCAATTGATTTGCCATCCTTACCTAGTACCCGTTTCCAAACAACTGTGTTACTTACTCGAGCAATATTTCGAAGACACCTATGATCGAATACTAGTAACCTACGAATATCCTCTACTTTTACCGGCCATGTTTCACTGCCATAAAGTAGGACGGGACGAACTGCTGCGCAGTAAACCCGTCCATTGGTTGATAGACGGATATCTCGCCTACGCCATAAATGACGCAGGTTGGTAAAAGCTAGTCGAGCCTTCTGTATCCGTGCTGAGATTTCGTCACACACCAGACCACAAGGGCTGATGAGACTTCCAAGATAAGTGAAGCGGTCGACACGCTCAATTACTTCACTCCCTATCACTAGTACGGGTGTCGATGCAACCCAATCCTGAAGCAACATTTTGCATTTCGATGAGGAGAATCGCATCCTGAACATGCTTGCATTGTTGCTTAGAGTGGTCAGAAGACTCTGCATTTTGTCAGCGCCTTCGCCAAATAAAAACTATGTCATCACCATATTCTAGGTCAAAAAGTCAATCTTCCTGTAGAAGTTCAACCCCTGGAAATTCAGATGAGGAAAGTGTCATTTTTAAAAGCACGTCAACAACAAAGTTAAACAAGAATGAAGAGAGTGGACAGCCCTGACGAACACCACTTGAGGTAATCAATTCTGATGACAGTTCGTCATAAGCTCTCACTCGACCAGTTGTGTTCGAGTAGAGAGCCTTTACAAGGTTAATATACTTCTTTGGTACTTCTTTCAGTGACAAACACTGCCATGGAACCTTACGATCGACAGAGTCAAATGCTGCTTTAAGGTCGAGAAATACTACGATTGTGGGACGTCTGAACGTGTCTCTGTGTTCTAGAACCTGACGTAGTCTGAATATCTGGTCTATACAACCACGTTCAGGTCGAAAACCGGCCTGGTTTTCTCTAGTCTGTTCTTCACAAGCTTTGATTAGGCGTCGAAGTGTTATTGAAGCTTATATTTCAGATTCTATATTTGTCAAACTGATTCCTCTGTGATTGTCACAAGAGGACTTTTGTCCTTTCTTATAGACTGGCACAATCAGTGATTCAGAACAGTCAGATGGGATTACGTCCAGTTCCCAAATTCTACCTAAGACCTCGGTTAATCTCATTGCTAATACTGAACCACCATCCTTAAAAATCTCAGAAGTAAACCTGTCAGGGTCTGCTGCTCTCCCTCGTTTCAGATTTCCTATGGCTTTTTCAACTTCGTAAAGAGACGGAGAACCTACATTAACTTGCCACTCAGGTTGACCAAAGATCGTGGGAAATCGAAGTGTGGCTGAAGGCCAATTGAACTGATCCCTAAAGTGTTCTGCCCATCGATCCAATGCTGCCTTGGGGTGGGCATCACATACATGGCTGCCTAACTGTTTTCCTAGTTGTTCCTGAAATATACTCTTAACTTGACCATCATTAAGTAGGCCTCTAAGAGGTTTCCTTGCAGCGTCTTTCCTACGTCCAGTAAGACGCAAGCAAATACGCGCTCGCACTAGAGCATGATCTGAATCTAAGCATGTGCTCCAGAATGAGCGAGTCTTCTATCGAGCCCCTCCATCGGTGGCTGTTAGCGATGTGAGCTATTTGGGTCCAACGCTGTGACGAATTAGGGGGTCGCCGTGTTAAAAGATGTTTCTGCTTATGCTTAAAGTTAGTATTTGCAAGAAACAGGCAGTTATCTGAGCACAGCTGCAACAGACGGTCGCCATTATCTGTTCTTCAAGCCAAGACACCATAAGATCCACCCAGGTGTCTTTCCCTATCGCTTAGTTTACCTACTTGAACATTAAAGTCACCAGCCATTATTACTACATCCGAGCGCCTAGCTTTTAGGAGAAGGTCGGAGAGCTTTCTGAAAAACTCACCTTTTACATCTTCTGAGCTGCAGTCAGTGAGAGAATAGGCAGAGACGACGAAGAGGCAACGACGAGTGTCCCTATCTTTCCGAGTCCTTATTGTTCCATTTAGTCGGACAGCGCACAAACGACTGTCTAACGGAATGCAGTCTAAGAGAGCTAGTTCTGTCCTAGAACTCAATACTATACCTACGCCAGCGAGGCCACGAGAAGCAACATTAAAGCTTCCAGATACATGAAGCGTAAACCGAGTTCATTCGTTACTTTGACATGATGAGGCCAAATGAATGACGCTACTCGGATCCTGCATGCGCGTTTCAGAGACGCAGCACACATCGAGGGCGCGAGATTCTAAAGTCCTAGCTAAGGAAGCCTGTTGTTCTATTTGACACAGTGTTCGGACATTGAAAGCTCCTACATGTAGTTCAGAGCGCGGTCTCAGGAGACCAGTAATAACGTTCCGCGTACTCAAATCGAAAGATTAGTCTGGGAGATAAGGGTGGTATTAAGAGGTGTAGGAAGGATGTGAATGTGACCAACTTGGTCTCGTATGCTGTTACGAGTATGTGGGCTAGTGTCACTTCCCAGCTGCCCACACTGTGGAAGAGTATTTCTTGAGGAACCTGAAAAAAAGGTTGGATTAATGTTGGCCTGAACGACCTGGGGGCGTGACCCAAGGGACAACTGCTTGAGGCCGGTCGCGCACGGTCTTTTTGTAGGAGGCTTTTGACGTGTTAGCTCCTTTTTTCAAAGAGCCTTACCACCGGAGACGGAAATCCGTGAGGTAAGTTGAGGTGTGACATTTTTAGGGTCGACCTTTTCTAACCCATTCCTTCCTTGTGAGAAGGCAGCATCGCTGCAGATGCTGGTTGCCCGAGGAAAACACCTTACTACTGTCACACATCTCTACAGTCAGCAGTACGACTTCGCCCTCAGACCTTGAGTTGCTGCTTTTAGTCTTACCGTTCTCCAATCGACCTGCCTAGCATGGTAGAACCTACAGGAATATATGTTCCAGCCAATATAGGTCGGTTGGGTCATCACGATAGGCAAGTCCGACCACCGCGTCAAGGTAGCAGCTACGGTCGGGCAATTTCTAATGATATATTACAACTTGTAAATATTCTCTTTTTCTATGTAGAGTAGATAATGTCCTTGGATTTAGATGATCATCGAATGATTTCATAAACATTAGTAATGAAAGAACAGTGAACGTAGCAGAATAACGTGAATACATTTCCCTCCGTGGTTGCTCATCAGCTATTTACAACTTGAACATAATAGTATCCATCATCAAAAAATAAGTGTACATAATTTATATCATCATACTATAACATTGGAAAAGTTCTTATCAATGAGGATTCATTAGAAGAGTAATATGTATGATAAAAGTACAGTACTACTATAGTTAGGTTTTAAGCAGCTGATGAGAAACTTCAAAGTAAAATAAATTTATGTTATTCTGCCATGTTCATTGCTCTTGATTTGGTAAAATGGGAAGAATTGTACTATATTTCCTAAATGTTATATATATTCTCAGTCATTTTATTCAAATTCAGTACAACCCAGTAGCATTGCCAAATATATTCAGCCTCTAATGCATAAATGACTAATACAGCTCATTTCGAACACATATCAGTATCGATTTTTCTTCATTTAAAGACAACGCAAAGCTTGATAACGTCCAAGATTATCCCTTGATTGTTGTTGCACAGATGACGTTAACCCTTTTTTAATGATAGGAACAACTATCACCTCGCTTCAAAATGATGGGTTTTTCTCTGATTTCCAGACGCTTGCAGATAACTCAATCAGTTTCATAATCATAAAGTTGCAACCGTTTTTAAAAATGACCGGAGATAAATTATTTAGGTCTGCTGATTTGTGGAGCTTCAAGAGTTGAAGTTTCTTGTAGATTTCCGTCTCATTAGGTGAATCAGTCTACTCTGGCTTGGGAGGACAGGACAGTTTGATTGATATCACTGAAGTAGCAGACCAGCTGAACCGTTCCTCAAAGAACTTTGTTGATTTTCAGCAGCGTTGACAGGTGATATTGCTTGGCTTCACGACAGCCTCATGCATTGTTCCACTCACACCAGACTTCTTGCTGCCAATGACTTGAATGAATCGAGAAAGCTTCCGGAAACTACCAAATGCCGGTGCTTCTTCCAACTTATTCGCGTTTGTGGACTATTTCGTATCAAAAAGGAAGAGGCTATATAAGAATGTTGACGAAACTGCTCCCGACCGTGTGCGATCTTACAAATAAAGATGTTTAAGATGTTAGAAAACTACATTGTCTTAGTGCAATTGAACATGTTAAGGTGGACTGTGATTTGTCTATTCGCCTAACCTATTTACTGGTTGGAAAAAAAACTGTAGAACTATCCTTAAATACATTTCACCAGTTAACCACATATCTCCGTATGGTTAAAATTAAAGATCTCATGTGTATTCACGGTTTGACAATACTTTTGTCCATAACACCTTTATAATAAAAAGATACGAATCTAGTCAAATCAGATGTCAGGAATGAAGCAGTTCAAAGCTATATTTGGAAAACAGTTGATATGTTGAGAAGCGATTGGTTAGAGTTGGCTGATTGTTGTAAAGGATGGGTAGCACAGAGTACCCACTCGTGATCTGGTGTGGATGTGTCACCGAGAGCCTTCAGCTAAGGTATGGTTTGGAAAACTAATGAAGTTAGCACTGATGTCCAAGACTTACAAGATTATTTATTTTGAGGATTTATTTACCTCTACAAACATATCTAGGGACTTTATGCTTGAAATTTAAATGAAAACCACAATATGTATTGCTTGGTATCCGAAGAATAATCAATTATTTACGGATATAATTAGACTTGGATTGTGTTGTTGTTGTGAATTTAATTTGGGCCGATTTTTTACCCTGTGCTAATTGTTGTGTCCTTGACTGAAAAACTAGAGAACAGCGTATTTATCGACCGATTCAATGACACGTAAACACGTACGAACGTAATGGACGACCTAGAGTTACGATTGGTCCCGATTCCCTGTCTATCCCAGCCAGTTGAGTCCAGAACACAAACCTCAGCCTCTGAGTTATGAATCATTGTATTTCAGACATACTCTATTTATATACTAACCAAGGATACCACATCGTACCATAAAAATAGAAAACAACATTTTGTACCATATTCAACAAGTGGACAGATATCGACCAGTAGGAAATGTCCATTTAAAGTCCAAGGACACCATTGGACTTAACATGATAATTATTGGTCTATCCTTCGCATCCACAACAGTTGTGTTCATATTCACCACTAAATGATAAGTACATGTTTACCCTCAATGTTCTAATTCACTGTACTTAATTCACATATGTGCAAGATCTCTTTTCTCCATGAACAAATTCATTTGTTACTGGTAATGTGCATTTCAGAAAGGTCTGAACGTTTATATTTCATCAGTTACAGATAATACTATTGAGCATCCTAGTTTAGTATAGTGTTCAATACCCAAGCTATTAGCATTTCATTATATTAAACTAATCAACTAAAGTGTATTTCATATCTTATTCTACACACTCAAATCTAGTTTCTAACATTTGTACACATGATATGCTTTTAGTGTAATAAATCGGATGTGAGTTACTGCACAATTGTTTCTACATCACCTGTTAGAAAAAAAAAATTTTTTCAGAAGAGGGTTTTGTGGAGATTTCAATAATTTCAATTGTTGAGATTATGAATCATTTGAAGCTAGCGGTTAAGTGATCGCGCGTGAGACTGATAGATCCTGGGTTCGAATCCCACGAGGCGGGATCGTGGATGTGCACTGCTGAGGAGTCACACAATAAGACGAAGCGGCCGTCCAGTGCTTCCAGGTTTTCCATAGTGTTCTAGCTTCAACTGATTCATGATCTCAACAATTGAAAAATATATTTTAATTGCTGAAAAATTCCCATTATATTAAGAACACAATTGTATGAACGAAGAATATTCTTTTCAATGAATTTCTCATCAGGTTCTACAATTATAAATCCAGATTAATAATCCATAAAATTGGCCAAATTTAAGGCAAAATACATCATCATTTGGAAATTGTAATATGTGAATCAGGAATTGTTTGTTATATAAAATAAAATTGTTAATGTTGGGGCTGACTAATATGAAGTTGTTAACTTGAATCAGTTTATAAGCGAAATGAAATTGTGAGATAAATTATCAGAATAAATATGGTCAACATGGGGTAAGAGAAAGAGAGAGAGAGAGAAAATTGTGATTACAAATCGGAAATTGCGTAATATGTTAAATAATTAGGTCAAATATAGTAGATTCAGGGGTGGATATTGAATAAATTCATCAAAAAGGGGGTTATCAAGTGTAAAGACAATAATAATAATAATAATAATAATAATAATAATAATAATAACAGTAATAGTAACAATAATAACAGTAATAATAATAATAAGTTTGGGACATAAAATGAACATTAATCAGATTACGTCACCATATTTTAAGATTGATTATTAGCTAGTTGGCCAGGGTAAAAGGAGTGGCTGAACATACTTCTTTTGGATACAAAGCTCTGGCTTTTTGATCCGAATAGCAATTGCTTCAGCCGTCTGTAGGATTCGCAGTCTGACGGAATTAGGTAGACTGCTGTTGACACGATAAACTATTGCAAAAGATTGCTCGATGTTGGCTGTATGTCCTGTTTGGACTAAATGGTCTAAGATGGAGCTGTTAACAGTTTTGACAACACCTTTGCTTAACCACACGGGTAGGTGCTCTCGAGCCCGAATGTACAAATTCCTAGAACATCTGCGAATATAATTTTATATAACAAACAACAATTCCTGATTCACATATTACAATTTCTAAATGATGTATTTTGCCTTAAATCTGGCCAATTTTATGGATTATTAATCTGGATTTATAATTGTAGAACCTGATGAGAAATTCATTGAAAAGAATATTCTTCGTTCATACAATTGTGTTTTTGAAAAATATATTTCAAAATATTTTGATAATTGACTACAGGATTCCAGTAAACTAACTTCAGTCACTTACGTAATAATTCAGAGGACAGTTAGTGCATTGTAACTGTCAAATATTCATCTTACTAATTAATATTAGTTTGTGACAAAATGATTTAGGCAATCAATTCTTATTCCACTGTGTCAAACAATATTGAAGTAGATAAGATGAAGCTCCGAGAGTTTATAGTCAAATCAGAATTGTCGGAGCATAGAAAATCAAATAAATGCTGTCCCCGATGGAAGCTCTACGACAAAGAACATTTGTAACATTAATCGACTTATTATCTTAAGTAGCAAGTTATATTTTTGTATACGGTTGTACACTTCATATCAATATTGTGTCACAAAATGCACCGTCTCTCAATCATCACAATAGTGCAACGAGATAAACTAACCTCCAGTTGAGCACATAGAGTTGTCAGTAGTAGTGTCAATCTTGCAGTGACATTATTGGACAACATGTTCACTTTGTGTGGTTGTTGTTCAGACGTTGCTGAGTTTCGCCGAAAATATATTCGCGGAATCAGGCTTTAGAAAGTCATACTTGTTTGGAGTTCCTTGAGTTCCATTGCTTTATCAGTATGTGGTTTTGGAGGTTACTAAGTTTTTGATTGAGACCATGAGTCCATTGATGTTAGACCACCATTGAAAACGCGGAAACACTGGACAGCCGTTTCGTTCTTTTATGAGACTCCTTGGCAGTGCACATCCACGATCTCATGAGCTGTATTCGGTGTTAATGTTTAACCTCAACTAATCCATTGTACTGAGATAGATACCTGTCTCTACTTGACATGGCTTAGTTCAACTGGTCACGGTTTCTCACTAGAATTCCAAGACTTCGCTCACGAAGCTAGTCAGTAGTAAGCACAATGGTTTACCAACTGATAATATAACGAATAAAACTGCGATTATTAGGATTTCATCGTAACAACAGAATTCAATGAATTCTTTCTCATATTGTGCTTTGGATATTTCATGAAGTCAAATTAATTTACTCTTATTTTCTTTTCAGGATGACGTGGCTTCCCTTTTAGTAAGATTAGTAATAAATTCTTTTGATTGAATATTGTTAAATGAAAAGTCTTAAAAAAGAAATCTCTATGGCTATTTGTTTGTAATATATATTCTATGTGATTGATATCCTCCAGCACAGAATGTTTCATATATGATGAATAAGAGAAGTGGTTTTGATCCATAGTTGACGGTTATTGAGATTCCTGAACCTCAGTGACGAAAACTTTTGGTTGTGATTAGAAAATTTTTAGAAATTAGTGATAGGTTAACTTGTTTTTAAAGGTGCATGCTCATTTGATAACGAACAAACGTTTTGTTGCCTGTAATCATATTTTAATTAACTGGTACGGCCGAAAGGGGGGAGATCCTGCTCTCCCTCTCGAAATGCTCTGACATGGCCACGTATATACAGCCACTGCCAGGAAAGTTCTACTCACTGTCTTCTCGCGGCTTTACTGTTGTTTAAGAAGTTGAAAGAACGAAAAGTGAACATCCGTCACTTTAACGGGGTTGGTGGACACAGAGAGTTTACCTAGTGAAGCTAGAAAACCCTGATTTCAAACCATTCGTGCACATGCCCTCCAGTATCCTGAAGGAACAATTACCATATGAACCTATTGTTGGTCACAGACTACCATGGGACTGCATCTCCAAACGTTGCTCCACTGCATCGTGCATCAGACCTTTAGGTCAAACGATCCGGGTGTGGCCACCTAAGAAAACCACCTGCTCTGGTCTGGGCGCACGGGCAGTATCCCAGCCCTCACACAAATCGAATGATTTATGTCGCGTTTATTTAATTCGTTCCTACTTGTACTAACGTTCATATGTTTAAATAAATAAATAATAAAATAAACTGTGCATCATTGTAATCTCATTAGTTCGAATCCAAGTAGCATAAAGTGGTATGATTGGATTTGTAATTTTGCATTTTTACCACAGAAGTATAGGCTTCGATATAAAGCTCAAGTGCTGCGAACAACGTCAACAGTGTCTGGTTTATCCTTATGACTTTTATGGAAATGTGAGTTGCAAACCGTGTAATGGCAGTATATCATTATTTCATAATGGAACTCTCGAAGTTATAAATTTTGTACTTTGTAAAGTACTTAGATTCAAAGTTTTCAGAAATATTTACGTTTTATATCACTTTGCAGAAAATTATTACCATTTCACTTGTTAAAAAGCAGAATGAAACTTTTTTCTAGAAGATGGAATGAAAACATGTTCAATCAATTGTAAATACATCTCAGTCTTATAGAACGTCAGTCGCGTTCCTGGATAGGTCAGTTGTAACGTTCCTGACTGTAATGCTGGGTGAAATGAAATCGAATCCGTCAAGATTACAGGTACACCTTTCTGACGACTGTCAAGTAGCATGTAACCTAAATCCAAGGTTTCCTGTTGACTAACTCCAACCACCATCTGATCGAAACAAAAAAATACACAAAAATAACCGTGAGATAAATTATACTTACAACTGTGCATAAAATTATGGTTCTTTTCAGTATGAGGAGGACTCCATTTCCGTAAGTTTATTTATCGATATTTAGGATTATATATTGACGGAATATTATTTTCAAAACTCAATTATATTTAAATTCACCTGGTATTGTTTTGCTTGTATCTTACTATCGTTGTTTAGGACTGCAATTGATCAGTCTCATATTCGCATTTATGCATCCTATACGGACCGCCTCGATATTGCCTTAATTTACAAGCATTATAAGCAAAGATGAAATAGTGGCTAGCAGTGAAATCCAGTTTGACGCGCGTTTCGTACTGTTTGGGACTCGTCAGATGGATATAACTGCATCTCAGAGTTGATGTTCACTCTGGGACTCAAACCCAGTACCATTCGCTTCAAACGCCATCGCGTTATCCACTCAGCTACTGAGTCCTGATAGCCACTTGCTTGTGCAATGGGGTGAATTTGAATTTACTTGGTATTGTTTGGCTTGTATCTTCCCATTGAGGTTTAAGACTGCAATTGATCAGCCTCACATTGACATACATGCATACTCTGCATATTGCCTCAGCATTGGCTTAATTCATAAGCATCTTGGATTCCACTACTAGTCACTATCCATCTTTGCATACTATGTGATATTTGCTCAAATAAAAGGTTTGTAGAATTTATACGAATATTTGTCAATATTAGAACGAATAGTTTAACAAAACATTTGGCGCCAAGCAATTGAAATTTAAACTAATCCCAACGTTTCATCCATCAAACTATTGAATTTAATAGATTTATTTATCTATTCACAGCTTTATGTATTAAGCAACAAAAATAATTGCCAACCTTATGGAGGATCATCAGTAAGAAATGTTATCTAATTATTATATTCTTGATAGTTCAATGTACCTAGTTATTTACTTCTCCAACGCGAAACATAGCATTCTGTAATCCGAGCGTCTGTTCATCATCAATGAAACCAAACTAACTGATTTCAAATGATGTAAATTTACTGAAAATAAACTTTCAAAACTGAACAATCCAGTACAATACAAAGTTTTATTACTTTATCGACGGAAGTCATTACAAAAGCGATGAATATTAAGTAGAAGGAAATTTCATAAATATTACAATAGTGAAGTGCTTGTTTTTGGGATAACCGTCCCCAAATGTCCTGATACAGTCGATAGTGATGAGAATCAGCTCTACTTCTAAAATGCTCTCACATGATCACGCGTATAAATCCTCTGCCAGGGAAGTCCTACTCATAGCCTACTCGCGGGCACCTAAGCGGTTTTACAATCCACACACAAATCAAGTGACTTGTGTGGCGCATACGTATTCTATGTTTCTTTGTACGAATGTCTATGGGTTTAAATAAATAAATTTTGGAACATCCAAAATAAATCTCATTGACTACAGCTTACAAGTCATGATAAATTAGAATAAAGCAGTATATTTAGAGTTTCTAGACGCTAACTAAGTGTAATGGATTTTGTTTCCTTCCCAACGTTGTATCACGGCTTCGTCTGAGAGTCGTTCATTGAATTTCGATTTTGGTTGAAAATCCCTTAGTTACCTTGTATTCTTCCAGACTTAGATGTTTCGTTGTCGATCTTCTTTTGTATAATTCATCTACTTTTTATCTTTCATCTCACAAAAACACAATGTAGAAAAGCAGTAAAAGTGTTCGTTTTTTGGTTTCTGTCAAGTTTGTGGATCCGCACTGCTTAGCAATCCTATAATAGAACAAAACGGTTGTTCAATTCTTCCACATTTTCAATGGTAATTTAGCTGATATAAAATTACTACAATCTTCACAAGGACAAAAATACCCACCGTCCCTAAGAAGGTACTATTCATAAAACTACAATTCATAAATGACACTATTGAATAAATCCTGACTCAGAAACTATGAAGAGTCGTACAAAAAACATTTAATGCTGCCAAATTAAATGCCATCTTCTACAACCATCCGAAAATAAGAACATCCAATAAAGACAGACAACCTGAATTCGCCAAATCTATGTGTATCTATCGTTTCAACTGCTCCTGTGGAGCCCGTTATATAGGGCGTACAATTCGGCAAGTTCGTCACCGTATTACAGAACATCATCCGACATGGTTAAGCAAAGAACAGATAAAAGTGATTAAAATATCTATTCTCTCTCATGTGGTTGACCCAGGTCATCAAGTTGAATTGAATAAAGCTTTTAAGGTTATCTACAATATCCCATCAAATCTACCACATGGTTTTAGTCGTAAACAGGATAGGTACTTCATATATTGAATTCTTATTTCAGTCTAAATCATTGTATAAGATATCTGCTGACAATACTGCTATGTAACTCTATTCGTTAGCCTTAATTGTACAGAGAGATTTACTGTTGGATCAGTACCGAAACTATACTGTTTTGATGTTAATCAGATATAGAAAGTTTGTTAAAATCATATTCAATCATCACTACCATTTAAGAAGTTGACAGATAAGAAGCCGCAACAACCTTGTCCATTTTGCCACGAAGTAAGTTCTCTTTTAACTGTTTTGTTAATGATTTCTGTTTATTGAATCTAAATATAAAGGCACAAATACACACTTGGTGATGATTGCGTTGTCATACTGATACAAAGTCCTTCTAAGAGTAATAGTCGGATAAAGCAAGTCAATTTAACATGTACCAAATAAAAAAGTCAATAATGTCTAGCAATGGAACTATATTCAATAGTATGCAGAAGTGGTTAAATGTATAATTTGTACACTGGTTAATGAACTCCATCTGAAGTCCCTCCGAGGGCTACTGCCGGCCAAAGCCCAGATTAAGGAGGAGGGTTAGGCATGGGGTTAGCGAACCCATCCCGTAGAAAACTAACTCGCTAAAAAAAACGTTAACCACAAAAAATTATTCAAACCTTTTAAACTCTACCCCAGAAGTCAGAAGGTCATAAGTACACTGGTTAATGAGAGGAATAAAGTGGCACATTTTGTGTGGTTGTTCAAAGACAATTCAGTAGACATTTGCTTTTATCTACTCAAATCCACTAAAAATAATGAGAGCCACATCAATGTGGAATACGTGCCCAGCTATTGATTTTCGATTAACCACTTAGTGACTGTCATGAAGATATTGATTATCATGCAAATGTCATCTAGTAGACATCTAATCAACAGCTTTATGATGGTGTTAAGAACTAAGAGCAGTTGATAATAGTTTAATGGGTCATAACTATCATTGAAATGTTTTTATTTGCATTTTTAAACTATCAATGAAATCATAAAAAAAATCAATTTTTAATGAAACTCAATGAACTCCAGCTTTGATGAAGAGTCAACTAAGAACTGGAACTAAACAAACTGTGATAAAAACGAATTGTTTGTAATTCATGATTATGTAAGTTGATTGAATTAAAACTCTTTATAATCACTAGTCCTAAACTAACTTTAACTATGAATAACTATTAGTGTACTGTATGCTACTGATGTAAACAGATATAAGTAGTAAGTATCATCATTCGAAAATGAAATGTTTGGCAGCAGAAGTTTAAGAAGATAGAAGGAAATAGAACGATAACAGATAATGATTGTTGTGGAAACGAAAGAACAGTGAAGTCTGAGATGATTGATTGACATTTTACAAATGGAGTATTTTCTGCTGTATGATTCTCCGATTTTACTAAGATGTTCTGTAAACTTGTATTCCAGTACATTTGACTGTCCCCAGTTGTCATCTCGTTCACTACAACAGAATTAAATCTTTTATGAAACAATGAACACTGAGCATTTAGGATGAATATTGTTTATAGTAGAAGCTGTGATAAGTGGTATGGAATAATTTAATTACCAATCATTTCTCATTAGTGTTACCTGAATTGCCTTCACGTTCTTCATATATGTAGCATAGTATTGCAATGTGATGAGCAAAATTATTGTTGTGGCTTACAGACTATTTCAGTTGCCTATGCAGCTATGATCATGGAGAAGACGAAGATTAATTGGAAAGCTTGATTCACAAATAGACGGACGAATGTTGAAATAATGGATGAAAGGGGAATGGAAGCAATGTAACTCTGGATCGTTAGTACTTGTAGATGAATAATCACAGTACGAATCAAGGAATAACATTTTCCTCATAACCAGTAGACCTAAGCAAAGTATAGTGTATTTTAACACGAATGTGACTCAAAAACGAGTAAGGAAACTACTGATCACTTCTACAAATGATGAAACGCAACACATGGAGCTTTCAACATCAACAATTATCAACGAATATATTCTCTTCCATACATGATGTGTAATGAAAATATTCAACTGAATTGTCTTTTAGTTCACATTATTCATCAAGAGATTGTCACTTCATTCTCACTTGTAATGTTTGCTTTAATCATAATTGATGGTATTTTTCTCATTTACAGTGAAGATTGTTCTGTACAATCATGTTTATTATTATAAATCAATTGAAAAGAACTTGTAACTAAGTGTAATCTACGATAAACTGATTCCTTATTGTTATAATTTTGGTGCCGTGTCCTATTGATATGTAACGTAATGACACCGCCAATTAGAGAACAGTGAGTTATCGACTGGATCAATGACGCATAATACATGTACGAGCAGTCTAGAGTCCTTATCGGTCCTGCTTCCTGCCTAGCCATGTCTGTTAAGTTCAATACACCAATCTCAGCCTCTGTGATATCAATCATGTATTTCAAATATACTGGGTTTATATACTAACCAAACAGACCACAGCGTACCATCAAATAGGAAATAACATTTGTGCAAGATTTAGCCAAGAGTGGTTGTGAATATAGGAGATATTGATTGATAGACTGGGTATGAGTCACGAACAGTTAATGGTATAACAATAGTCAAAGTAAAGCTTATGATAAGAGTAGTTTAGTTATTTAATAAATATACGATAAAAATGTATGTATAGTAATAGTTCATAAATAAATTTCATCAGTTACCATCCATTATTCTCATAGGGATAGTTATAAACTTTACCGTAAACAAATTCTTACTTCAGAAATGCTTATGGACAGAATATAGTACATTTAGTCATTCATCATTTACTTTACATAACTGTAAATCGAGCAAGTATGGACTTTGCTTAGTTTATGCCTATAACCTATTTAGGTAAGTATGACGGTTTACTTTTAATAAGTTGAGGATACATCAAAACGATGTTTTCTTTGAAAACTGATCTATAAAATGTTTAACTTATTAATCACCTATTTGATAATGATAATAATCATATCACAGAGTGTTGCTGAACAGGATGAAAGATGCAGTAGACGCTCAACTTCGAGATCAACAAGCTGGATTCCGTAAGGATCGATCGTGCACAGACCAAATTGCAACACTACCCATCATCGTTGAACAATCAGTTGAGTGGAACTCATCACTAAACATCAACTTCATTGGTTATGAAAAAGCTTTCGACAGTGTAGATAGGAGGACGTTATGGAAACTTCTTCGACACTATGGAGTTCCTGAGAAGATTGTCAATATTATCCGGAACTCATATGATGAACTACAGTGCAAGGTCGTGCATGGAGGACAGCTGACAGTTGCATTTCAAGTACGGACCGGAGTCTGACGAGGCTGTCTACTCCCTCCCTTCATCTTTCTTCTGGTGGTCGACTGGTTTATGAAGGCCTCGACATCTGGGGGAAAATACGTAATACAATGGACAGCTCAGAATCAATTAGACGATTCGGAATTCGCAGATGACCTAGACCTCCTATCGCATACACACGAACAGATGCAGACAAAGACAGCCAGTATAGCAGCAGTCTCTGCATCAGTAGGCCTCAACATACACAAAGGGAAAACCAAGGTCCTCAAATTCAACACGTAGAACAGCAATTCAATCATTCTTGATGGTGAAACTTTGGAAAATGTAGAATCCTTCACATACCTGGGAAGCATCATCGATGAACAAGGAGGTTCAGATACAGACGTAAACGTGAGGATTGGCAAAGCAAGGACAGCATTCCTACAATTGAAGAACATATGGAACTCAAAACAACTTTCAACCAATATCAAAGTCCGAATCTTCAATACGAACGTCAAGGCAGTTCTACTGTACGGAGCTGAAACTTGGAGAACTACAACAACCACCATCAAGAAGGTACAAGTATTTATAAATAGTTGTCTACGCAAGATACCATCAGCAACTGGTTTCTGTGGGAGAGAACAAACCAGCTTCCAACTGAACAGGAAATTAAGAAAAGACGATGGAAATGGATAGGACATACATTACGCGAATCATCAAACTGCCTGACGAGGCAAGCCCTAACTTGTAATGCTGAATGGAAGTGGAAGAGAGGAAAGCCAAAGAACACATTATATCGGGAGATAGAAGCAGATATGAAAAGGATGAACAACAAGTGGAAGGAACTGGCAAGTATTGCCCAGGATGGTGCTGTATGGAGAGTTCTAGTGACCAGCCTATGCTCCTTCACGAGGAGTAACAGGCGTAAGTGAGTAATATGGATGGACATAGGTGTGATTCAACGATAAATAAATGAATCACTAACTAAGATACGTTCGAAACCTTGTAATTTAGTAGCTATGTCTAATAGAATTAAGTGTGAGTTGTGATGGATCCTAGCTTATTTAAGATGTAACAGTATGTAAAGTTATCGATAATATACCAAAAATGTTTAACTTTACGACCCTTAGTATATGTTTATGAGTAAAGGAAAAGGTAGCAAATTACATATACAATGATAACAGTTGTTATTAAATATGAACGTTACTTGTAAGCTGCTTTCTGAGATAACAACCACAAATGAGTTCACTTAATTAACAAAGATTCCTCTGCACGTGGTGGCATCAACGACATAATAAGAAAGATGAAATTCCATAGTATTACATAATGTAGTTTGAGAAGGCCTAAAAGGATGTAATAACACTATTATAATCTTCAATCAAATGCTGTATCCAATTAAGCAGAAGAATAGACAGCAGTGATAATGTAAATATATTTGTAATATCCCACTGAGTAGAAAAATTAGATTTTCTGACGTTTCGTGACTTAGTGTAAGTCACTTCTTCAGTGAATAAATAATCAAATTAAACTTGACTTATGCGTTCAAAAGGAGATGGTTATTCATCTTTCCTTGCCTTGGTGACTAATATTCCTTCGCTCTATCTTAATATTTTTTCTTTTTCTTTAAACTCTTTCCTACATTTATAACAAAATCATTGGGTTTTATTTTAACTATCTTCCAAATGAATAATCTTATTTTATCAACTGAGCTCTACTTTCTACATTCCTATCAGTATTTATTCATTATGTAATCACTTGTTTCTAGCCGTTTGAACTGTTGTCACAATCATTATGGTAGAATGTTCTTTCACATAAGGTATATATTTACAACATTCAGTCTATTAATTATATTTACACTCTTGCTATACTATACGAATATGTCTTCAACATAACTTCCAACCAAACTCTTTCATGTAAGTAATTGAAACTCATTATGTAATTATGATTTCTAAATAGCACAGATTGTAAGCAGCTGACGAGAACCTACGAAATAAAAATGAATTCATGCTATTCTACTAGAATCCTTTTGTTCTTCCTCTTTTCAAAATGATAAAGGGAACTATGTGTTACTGGTTACTGATGAAGAATTAAGTAATAAATCGATAAACAGATACACATTAATCTTTCCTTTAATATACAGTTAGATTAAATAATAATCATCATCATAGTAGCTAAATGACAAAAGTGCATATTAAGTTTGTTTATGAAATAAGGAAATTGTCAAATGAATGCATGATTTATCATTTGTTATCAAAGTTAAATAATGTGTGAACTAAGACTAACATTAAAATTCATAAGAATAAAATGAAATAATGAGCGTTCACATGGAGATAATAATGATTAATACTATGGTTACATGATCAGTGAAGATCCTACAAACAGACAACTGAAGTTTTATAGATTTCACCGAGTTACTACTGACTAGCAAACATACAAATCTTGTCAACTAAAGGGGTTGTTTTATCTCTTTAGCTAATCTGTGTATCGATGGAGAATTGGAGAGTTATCTTAGAATTAATTATTGTCTCCATGTTATAGTTCACTGTATACATACACTTTTTATCGATACCCTATTGTGATCAATATAATTTTCAAAGGTATCATTTTAATAGATTTTACAGTTGTATATTTTGTCATCTATTCAGACTTTGGTCATGAAACAAGTGGACAAAAAACTAAAAATCTGTCTAAATTCATTTTGTATTGTTTTTTTAATCTTCCCATTAATGTTTAAGATTCCACTTGATCAGTCTCTTATTGGCATTTA